GTCTCTAACACACATTTGGTAAATGTGGAATCCAAGTGATAAATATCTATATAATCACAAAAATCCTGCAGGGACTGGCTTTGTGTGTGGAGGCGCCGCACCTTTATCTCCAGGCCGTCTCCGTCGATCCCGAAGCTCTTCATCAGAGGAACAGCAGTGCTCTTCAGGAGATCCGGCTGCCCAACACACACACACACACACAGGTTAACTCAACACACACAGCACAGAGCACAGGTTAACACTGGACACGCGCGCACACACACACACAACACAGGTTAACACATACAGTGTGAGTGTTCATGTTTGTGCATGTGTGTATATGTAATGGTGTGTGTGTGTGTGTGTGTGTGTGTGTAACAGTGTTCTCTGCTGGACTTTGCCTGATGAAGCGATCACATTAACAGTGTCGATGTTAACAGACAGACAGACATCTTCAGTATTCCACAGATCTACGCATGGATAATGGACACTTCTCATATTTCTAGCTCGCTGAAGAAAAAATATATGTTTTTCAAACACTATTTAGTGATATTATTAATACTAGAAAATGAAAATAAAATAATAGAGCTGCATCATGCACATGATTCTGGATAAATTGTAGATTAGATTGTAGATTAGGACTAAATAACGAAACAAATAAATGTTATTTGCTGCAGTCTATTAAAAATATCTAATAACTTTTTTTAAATAGTCTTCTTGAGTGAATGATTCAGTGACTCACTTCATTACTGGATGATGCCGTGTTTTTGAACAAATCTCTTGAGTGAATGATTCAGTGACTCACTTCATTACTGGATGATGCGATATTTTTGAACAAATCTCTTGAGTGAATGATTCAATGACTCACTTCATTACTGGATGATTCAGTGTTTTTGAACAAATCTCTTGAGTGAATGATTCAGTGACTCACTTCATTACTGGATGATGCGATATTTTTGAACAAATCTCTAGAGTGAATGATTCAGTGACTCACTTCATTACTGGATGATGCGATATTTTTGAACAAATCTCTTGAGTGAATGATTCAATGATTCACTTCATTACTGGATGATGCGATATTTTTGAACAAATCTCTTGAGTGAATGATTCAATGACTCACTTCATTACTGGATGATTCAGTGTTTTTGAACGAATCTCTTGAGTGAATGATTCAGTGACTCACTTCATTACTGGATGATGCGATATTTTTGAACAAATCTCTAGAGTGAATGATTCAGTGACTCACTTCATTACTGGATGATGCCGTGTTTTTGAACAAATCTCTTGAGTGAATGATTCAGTGACTCACTTCATTACTGGATGATGCGATATTTTTGAACAAATCTCTTGAGTGAATGATTCAGTGACTCATTTCATTACTGGATAATTCAGTGTTTTGAACAAATCTCTTGAGTGAATGATTCAGTGACTCACTTCATTACTGGATGATGCGATATTTTTGAACAAATCTCTTGAGTGAATGATTCAATGACTCACTTCATTAGTGGAAGATTCTGTGTTTTTGAACAAATCTCTTGAGTGAATGATTCAATGACTCACTTCATTACTGGATGATTCTGTGTTTTTGAACAAATCTCTTGAGTGAATGATTCAGTGACTCACTTCATTACTGGATGATGCGATATTTTGAACAAATCTCTTGTGTGAATGATTCAATGATTCACTTCATTACTGGATGATGCGATATTTTGAACAAATCTCTTGAGTGAATGATTCAATGACTCACTTCATTACTGGATGATTCAGTGTTTTTGAACGAATCTCTTGAGTGAATGATTCAATGACTCACTTCATTACTGGATGATGCGATATTTTTGAACAAATCTCTAGAGTGAATGATTCAGTGACTCACTTCATTACTGGATGATGCCGTGTTTTTGAACAAATCTCTTGAGTGAATGATTCAGTGACTCACTTCATTACTGGATGATGCGATATTTTTGAACAAATCTCTTGAGTGAATGATTCAATGACTCACTTCATTACTGGATGATTCAGTGTTTTTGAACAAATCTCTTGAGTGAATGATTCAGTGACTCACTTCATTACTGGATGATGCGATATTTTTGAACGAATCTCTTGAGTGAATGATTCAATGACTCACTTCATTACTGGATGATGCGATATTTTTGAACAAATCTCTTGAGTGAATGATTCAGTGACTCACTCATGTTTTAACAGTCTCTTGTCTCCTCCTACTGGTGTAATGATGTAATGATTCAATCTTTATTTATAGTCATGTGTCTTTCAGAAGCTGATTGACTCTAGTGTGATCTCTACTGTAGACATCAGTGTTTATATCTCAACTATAAACTTTTATGATAATCTGAAGGCAGAATTCACAAACTTCCCAGGCCCTGTTGACCTCTACACACACTCTGTGCATCTGTGCAACAAATCTGTGTGTTCCAGGTTTATCAGATGGTGTGTGTGTGTGTACTCACGGACGGGTCGTCGGGTCCGTTGGTGACCCCCTTCAGCACGGCCCTCAGCGGGCTCTTCATGAACGGCCCCAGCATCAGCAGCGGCTCCAGGTAATATCCCACAGATCGCTGTGTGTGACACTCGTGCTCCACGGCGCCGCCCGTCAGGAGCCCCGGCTGGTAGAACAGCACCGTCCCTGCACACACACACACACACGTGGACGAATCAGCTTCAGACACACTTTACAAGAGCTGGAGAATGAGTTTAGAAAGACGGCAGCGCCACCAGTTCACTTCTACACAGAGATTGGTCAGTCTATTAGTAAGGTCAGCTGACTTTAACAGTGTGTGTGTCGTCATAAGCCGACGGCGAGACTGCAGAGACAACCACAAACTCCCTGAAACGCCTCCATTTTAGTCTCCAGGTTTCTTCCGGGAACGAGTCTTTCTTCTTAACAACAGTCGCACTCGTGCTCGTCGCGGTCAGAAACGCCGCATTGGAAATGAACAAGACGAGTTTCCTCTAGTGGAAGCGTTTGGAACTGCAGCCCAACAACATCTCACTGAACGCTCATGGATTATAAATACAGTGTAAATTTAATTTACTACAAAAAAAATACAAAATATTAAATTAAAAAAAACATTATCAAACTAGAATATACTACACTAATTTCATTAATAAAAAAATAAATTTCTTTCATGACTGACACACGAAGAGCACCACAGGGTTTAATAATTCATACGCAGAATAAAGGGAGTTAGTCAGTAGAGTGTTAAACTGGTGGTTATGGAAAGGGGCGGGACCAATCACAACACACTGCTCCAGCCAACCAATCAGAGCACAGTGTGGAGGGGCTTCATAAAGACAGGAAGTAAACAGAGCGTTACTGACAGACTGGAAAGAGAGGAGCCGCAACAATGGAGAATATGAGGAGAATAAATAATCAACCTGCTTGAATGAAAATATGAAACTCACCCGTTTGGTTGATTTCTATTCTTGTGCCGTTCGTCACTTTGTCGAGGAGACGGATGAAGCTCGCTTCAAAATCTGACACAGAAACAGAGTTCAGAAACACTAACACTAAACATATCTCTGACATTAGAGCAGAAACTGTTTAAAATCTGATGGGAAGAGTCGCGGTTCAATGTCTGACATAAACTCGCGAATGTGTCTTACAACATTAAAATATAATTGTTTTACAATAATGTGTTGCAGTGGATGGAAAACAGTTAATGTGAATATTAACTACTCAAAAGACTCAAATAATTAGAATAAAATCATTTAAAATGTACAATATTGAACTTAAAAATACATTGACGCAATGAAAACAAATTATGTTAACGATAATAAAAGAAATAGTAATCTAGAACAAATCTAATTTAAGAAAACAAATGAGAAAATGTCAAACACATAAATCCTCAATCCACTCATCTATATATTTACAGACGCTGAGAATACTGTTATTGATATCTGGTTGTTTTCAAAACAAATCAAATTTACTTTATTGGCATAACTGTAAATAACACAGTATTACCGAAGCTTGGAATACATTGAATAATAGTAACAACGTCTAAATAATAGAAGACAATAACATAAGTGAAATGTAAATAAACAGTGTAACCCATGAGCAGTGCCTGCACGCTGCGTCACGTGTGCTGTAATTATGCAGTTATGATGTTTGATCACCTCGAAGGCCCGGATTATCATCTTTAGACCTGATGTTCCGTATTTTCACTCGTTTCCCGCTCAGTGTGGATAAAACGAGCCTCTGTCTGAAGCAGTTGCAGCCCTCGAACTCCATGATGTTACACACGTGTTGTTTCTGTAGCAGGCTGGACTCAACACGGACGAGAGCCCGCGAGGGACAAGCGACAAAACGCGAAGGCGGAAATACAGCGCTACACACGATGACCACAAGAGGGCGCCAGATATTTAAAGTCCCCCTGTGGTGTAAATCCAGTGTTTAATGTTGTTTATGTGTGTATAATGTATCAAACGGCAACACAAGAGCGATAAACTGCAATACATCGAAAATCCGCTAGAGGCCGGTCCCAAAAGGGAGCAAATGTCCATATACCCCATGCTAAAATGTCCGTTTTCACAGCATAAATTCATGTTTTTACAGTTTGGTTCCATGGACTTTTATTGTAATCTTCAATAGGTTCCGCGTGCCCGACAACTGTGAGGGGGGTGAATTTATTTCTAACTCGTTAGTTTAGATCGTATTTATATATAAAATGTATGACAAATAAGGGCGGTTAACTTTGATTGACAGCTGATAACGAGTTTGACGTCTCGATCATGACTTTTAATTACAATAATGCATTTGATTAAAAGTGCCTTTCAAACACTCAATGGTAATAACAATGATAACAATACAAGACAAAGTCATGTGAAATATAATAAACATCAGCTGCAATATTTAAGGTAAAAACGGACTTTTCCAGGTCTAGAAATCACAATATATCCAGGTTTTCAAGTAAAATTAAGTTACATTGAAACGAGAATCGAATTAACATTAAATTGAATCGCTGGTTAATCTTATTTTAAATCAAGAAAACAGTCAAAAACAAACAAACATGCAAATCATTTTTTTATTGCAAATAATACATTTGCATAACTCAAAACAAACACTGAACATACAGAGTTAATGATCGTTACAAATGAACTTGTGTGTGTCGTAGAGCGAATGATCAGTGAACAGAGAAACACGTCCAACACGTCCTCGAACACGAGTGTGTGTGCAGCCATCATGGATGACAAGAACACTTGCACAGCAATTAAAAGAAAAGCACGGCGAACTGATCATGAAGATTTAAAAACACAGATTCATAAAACATCTCTGAGGTTTAAGAGGCCGAATCACTGAAATAAAGCCAGAACAAAACACAGATATTTACTCCATACTTCAGTCTATTAACGCCCATAAACAAACAAACATGATGCACTGCAAAACACGTGTGTGTTCATCCTCTGCGTTTCTGTCTAAACTTTCTCACATCGAGACACATCCACTGGAGGAGAAGCGTCTTCAGTGATCGTTCTCCTCCAGTAAGTGTGTGTTGATTACAGTATGATCAGAAACGCGGAGGATGAACGTGATGTTTCTGCAGTGTGATTGTGTTTCTGATGTCGATCCGGATCGATCGGTTCAGATTCGCTCCCAGAACTGCAGCAACTGACTCCCAGCCTGAGGCTCCAGCTCCTGTTCAACACACACACACACACACACACGAAACATTAACACCATCATCAAGGAAATGAAATGATTTAATGATCACAATCTGGATTACAATCATTCATATATTCATATAGCAAATAAAGTTTATAGTTAGGATATAAACACTGATGTCTACAGTAGAGATCACACTAGAGTCAATCAGCTTCTGAAAGACACATGACTATAAATAAAGATTGAATCATTACATCATTACACCAGTAGGAGGACTGTTAAAACATGAGTGAGTCACTGAATCATTCACTCAAGAAATTCATTCAAAAACACAGAATCATCCAGTAATGAAGTGAGTCACTGAATCATTCACTCAAGAGATTTGTTCAAAAAGACGGAATCTTACAGTAATGAAGTGAGTCACTGAATCATTCACTCAAGAGATTTGTTCAAAAACACTGAATCATCCAGTAATGAAGCGAGTCATTGAATCATTCACTCAAGAGATTTGTTCAAAAATATCGCATCATCCAGTAATGAAGTGAGTCACTGAATCATTCACTCAAGAGATTTGTTCAATAACAGAATCATCCAGTAATGAGTGAGTCACTGAATCATTCACTCAAGAGATTTGTTCAAAAACACAGAATCATCCAGTAATGAGTGATTCACTGAATCATTCACTCAAGAAATTGGTTCAAAAACACTGAATCATCCAGTAATGAAGTGAGTCACTGAATCATTCACTCAAGAGATTTGTTCAAAAACACAGAATCATCCAGTAATAAAGTGAGTCACTGAATCATTCACTCAACAGACTTGTTCAAAAACACAGAATCATCCAGTAATAAAGTGAGTCACTGAATCATTCACTCAAGAGATTTGTTCAAAAACACAGAATCATCCAGTAATGAAGTGAGTCACTGAATCATTCACTCAAGAGATTTGTTCAAAAACCCTAAATCATCCAGTAATGAAGTGAGTCACTGAATCATTCACTCAACAGACTTGTTCAAAAACACAGAATCATCCAGTAATAAAGTGAGTCACTGAATCATTCACTCGAGAGATTTGTTCAATAACACAGAATCATCCAGTAATGAAGTGAGTCACTGAATCATTCACTCAAGAGATTTGTTCAAAAACACAGAATCATCCAGTAATGAAGTGAATCATTGAATCATTCACTAAAAACCATTATTTCATAACCTTTGAAATCGCTGGTGTTTCTGACGCCACAAACGACCCATTAACCAATCAGATCAACGTGTGATCATCAACCAGTGGATCTCTGAGTGAGTGAGTGAGTGAGTCGAGAGTGTAGACGGGGCTCATTTGCATATTCATACAACATTTGCATATTCAAAGAGATACTGCACTGTGAAAATGACTCATTACAAGATGCATTAAATTGCATTTCTCTTTACAAGTGACACTCAGGTAAGGTGCAGGGCTGTGTGTGTGTGTGTGTGTGTGACGTACCTGTCCGTCCCGGCTGATCTGGACCCTCTTGTTGTCGTTCCAGGGGTTCAGGAGATGCTGTGTGAGCTGGAACGGCAGACTCTCCTTCCGGACCCACTCCACCCCGAACACACCGCCCAGACCGACCGAACCCCAGTCCAGACACCTCTCGCCACTGATGGCCGACGTCATGCGCGCGTAACCCTGACACACACACACACACAGTCAGTATTAGAGCTGTCAAAACGGCTGAAAAGCTAAATTCTAATTTCTTTCTTAAATATTAGCAAAATTAGAATTATATTCCAATTCTGAAGCCAATACTTCATGTTAGAGTATCGTCTCCCATAGACCCGCATGTTAAAATGTCCAACTGTACCGCAGAAATAAACATGTTCATCTGGTGGAAAATGTGGACTGTGACTTCATAATGAAGGTGGGGGCGTGGCCAGTTGAGTGACAGGTGCATTGCCGTCGATGTCACTACTAGCCGTTTGTTTGCTAGCGTCAGCTAATCCGCCTCACTGCACATGTTCGTTTATGCGGGAGTGATGCGCGGTCAAGATGGCGATGGCCGGCCCCGCCCACTTTGGGCTTCAGAAACACTACGGGTGACGTCACACACACACTACACACATTTTTTACAGCCTTTGCTCTTGACAAACCAAAACTTCGAATGTCCCTTTTTTTTAATTCGACGAATATTCAAAATTTGCATTTTTATTTGACAGCCCTCATCAGTATCGATCAATAACACTCAGTAATTAAAAAATAACACATAATAAAAGTAGCAATCGCTCAAATAGACACAATCGAACAACGATACAAGTGAAATAAATAGTGTTTTAAAATTTCAGGTGCAGAAACTAAAATAACACTGCACTTTATAAATAAAATATAGTTTTACAATGGGAATTTTTGTCTAGTGTGATTAGAGTTATTCTAGAGACGGCAGGAATATTAGCGCTGTCGCTTTAAGAGCGGCACGGGTCCGATACACTGATACACACGAGGACAGAAAACACTCGTGCTCGAATCGTTTAAACTCACATTGAAACGGAATCAAAATTTTAATTTTATAACAAGTATCCGATTCCTGAGCTCGAGTATTGGGTTTTGGCAACACACACACACACACACACCTGGAAGTGTCCGGAGCCCTGCACGGAGAACACGAGGAACACGGCGCTGCTCTCCTGGAAGGCCCGGGTCAGCTTGTGCTCGTTGCTGGGAGTGGTGGACCAGATGCCCCTCTGCTGGGACAGCTCGATGTTCCTCATGTTGCTGCTCTTCATGATGAAGTATCGCACACAGGAGCGCAGCGGCCTCGGCGACGGAGACGAGCAGCTCTACACACACCCAAACATTACAACTCAGTCAGGACACACACCAGACGGACCTTCACTGAGACGCCGTCGCACTTACCCAGAGATGCATGAGATATCGGTTCATTTTTAATGTTATCCGTCCGATCTCAAAAATTATATCAGAATTTGGATTTAGATTTATCGGCCGATATATCGGTTATCGGCTTTCAAATATAAGGAATTATCCGTATCGGTTATTTTCATATCAGTCCATCCCTCATACTTACCCACCGGTGGGCCCAAATCCATTACATTTTTAAAACGCTATTATCCTATACTAAACGTAAACTAATCTTGACAAACTATATATCATTTGAAAGCTTAGAATTTTTTTTGATTTTCAAAATATTTTACAGAGGAGCCGTAATTTATCAATTTGCAACAAGAATATTTTCATACTCTAAGGCGTGTTTAGACCTTTATTTTGAAATTGTGATGAACAAGAAAAATCATGAAAGAAGGGTAGAAACCTGTTCAAAAGAAAGAAAGCCTTCATTCAATTATTTTATAATTATAATAATTATTATTTCATATGGAAATGGAGGCGCCCTTATATGGGCAGTAATGGAGTCTGGTTGTGCCCTAGTGAAAAAGGTTGGTACTGCGCCCAAACAAAATCTCATTTTTTGAGATATCAACCTAAAATGTGAAACACAACTTATTCAGATTTTTTTTTTGTTGCAGTTTTAGAGTTGCCCAGGTTTTGAAAATATATATTTTATATAAAATATGAATAATTACATTTTTTATATTGTACATTTTCATAAACTCAAAGTTGTATAACTTTTTTTCTATTTCACATTCTTAATTTCTTTCACTTCTACAAAAATCTGCCAAATGTCTTCTTTAAAACGAGACCAATCTTACGTCTATATTCCAAAGCATTCTTGAATTACAACCATTTAAGTTTGAAATGTGCATTTTCATCTATATTCAAAAAAAAGGGGGGGGGGGTCACTTAAGAGGTTAAGGATGTTTTCTGAGATGTAATGTTTAAATAAGCAAATTAGGTACTATTTCATTAAATATGCCCTCATTTGCATACATTTTCAGGAGAGAACTCTGAACGCCGGGTTTAAGACTCTTGTCTGATTTTGTTGTCATATGGATTTCTCTTTTCATCTCTTATAAATCAGAAAATCCTGATTTTACAGAAAAATACATTTTCATCATGTTTTAAGGAGTAAAATGTTGTATAAATCAGGCGAATGATATATGAATAAACCTTCAGCGTATAGATATGAATAAAACTGTAAGGTCTGGTGTGTGCAAAGCTGCAGAAGTGGAGATTTATGACTTTAGAGAGCAAATAAAAGTGCATTAAAATAAGTCTATAAATTTAAAGTCCCCCTGTAGTCAATAATTGTATCCCTTAAAACTCATCAAAATTACATATTTAAACGTCACGTCTTCACGTCTTAAAATATCTTGAATGTAACTCGACACCCTCGCCTCATTTCGTATGCACAGTTGTATGAATATGCAAATGAGGACCCCTGGGAGACTCATTCGCTCACTCAGAGATCTGATCTGATTGGTTACAAGGTGGTTTGTGTCGTCAGAAACACCAGCGATTTCAAAGCGTGTTTTTGAGACGCGCTTTCAGTTTTAAGGAGGAAATACTCAGCAATGCTGTCCACTTATCAACTTACACATGGTTAAGCGTATTTAACACACATAAACATTAAACGCTGGATTTACACCATAGGGGGACTTTAAAGGTGTATTTTGGATAGCCTAAAAATGACCCGTACATGAAAAAAAAAAAAACACTGGTTTCGTCTTAAATATCGTAATCTAAAATGAGTCGTGAACCCGTAACGTCACGTACTTTCCCAGAAGAGGGAGATGAAGAGTCGTCAGCGCTGTGAAACGGGACCTGCTCCTCTCCCAGCGGCTTCGAGTAAAGCGATCTGTGATTCTTCATCTGAGACGCCAGCCGAGGTCTGTAGGATACACACACACACACACACACATCAGCATCACACCAGCATAGCACCGGGTATATGATAGAGTCCACACACACACACACACACACACACACACACCTGTCGGGGCTGGGCGGCTCCTCCGTGCTCCTGCAGGCCGTCTGCGGGGCCTCGTCAGAGTTCATAGGTCGGGGTCTCTGGCCGATGCCGGTGGGCTGCTGGAGACCCGAGGCCTGCTCCTCCGCCGACAGCACCGACACCAGCGTGCGGACCGTGGCCTCGTCCAGCTGAGAGCAGGCCTTAGACGGAGAGCGGATCCGGCGCAGGAACAAGCTCTGCCAGCGCTGTCTGAGCCCGAACACCAGCTCCGCCATCTGCACACACACACACACACACACACATATCCCTTTGATTAGCCATATTTAATTGTATATTGTTGTTATTGATCTAATTTAAAGGTGCAGTGTGTCATTTTTAGAGGTATCTAGTGGTGAGTTTGTGAACTGCACTCAACAGAAGTTACGGTGGCCGGCAGAAAGTGATAAAAAGATAAAATAAGAAATTAGTTTTAAAAAGATGTTATTGTGAATATTATTTACTCGCTGACTTTAGCAGTTTCTTATCATGAAGAACAACACAGTGACGAAACGTAGAAACATGGTGATGGGCATCCAAAATAAAAGTTTGTGTTTACATAATATATGTTTGTGTAGTGTGTATAATTAATTTGTATATATAAATACCCACATATGCATGTCCATGTATATATTTAAGAAATATGTGCATGTATGAAGAGTTCAGATGCAAAAGCCATTGGAAATTTTCTTCTAAAATGATCATTTTTATTAAGCTTATATATTCAAGTTCAGTAATTTCACTTAAATGACAATTAGGTAATCCTCATTGCAATTTAAGTGAAATCACTGAACTTAAATATACAAGCTTGATAAAAAAATCATTTTAGAAGAAAATTTCCAATGGCACTTTTGCATCTGCACTCTTCGTATATATTTTATATATATTTATTCACAATTAATATTATATATAAAAATAAATATTTGATATATTAATAACACATTTTTCTTAAATATATACATGCATGTGTGGGTATTTATATATACAAATTAATTACACACACTACATACACATATATTATGTAAACACAAACTTTTATTTTGGATGCGATTAATCGCCCATCCCTAATAGAAACATGGTGATGTCAGCGGACCCGCGGTGTGTGCAGAGAAACGCTCATTCTAAGCTAATAAAAACAGTTCATTATTTAAGCTCCTTATACACCACTGAACACATAGTTATGGATATTGAATTTTCAGTTAAATGCAGAATATCAGAAAGAAGCGATGAATGAGTTTTACCTCTCGGTCGAGTTTGAAGTTGAGCCACTCGTCGATGCTGATGTGAGCCAGATGAGCCGTGGCTCGATCCTCCATCTCGCTGTCACTGCTGTCATTCACACCGTCACCGACTGAAAACATACGCAATGACATCAGCGTTCAACTGCAGAAACACGCAGCAGCATCTCAAATACACACTTATGATCATGATATATCGGCCACAATAGCAGCTGATATCGGTTCATTTTTAATGTTATCGGTCTGATAATAAAATGTGTCTGATGTATTAGAGCTGATAAATAATGTATTATTTCCTTCAGATGCGCACTGTTCAACATGATGATTATGAATCGCTTGAAATATGATTGAAATCACTTCAAAAAAGGAAAATACAGTTCAGTGCAACATGTGTCATATCAGCTACATAACATTATCATGAGAACATCATAACTGTGTGTTTGAGACGGGGATTTTAATGATGAGACTTTTGTTTTTGTAATCAGGCATTTAAAAATTACATGAAATTTTTTATTTCGATTTATCAGCCAATATATCGGTTATCGGCTATCAAATATAAAAGAAATATCGGTTATCGGTACCAGCCAAAATTTCCATATCAGTGCATGTCTAATTACAATAGTTTCAGGTTTAGAAAAAAAGTACTAGTGATTGATCGACTTGAAAATTGTGGCCGATACCGATAACCGATAATTCATGAACGCCGATATTTCGGGCGATAAATCGAAATCATGATTTTTGAGAGTCTGATTACAAAACAAAAGTCTCGCCATTAAATACAGTTCTCGCACTGAACTGTCTTTTCCTTTTTTGAAGTGATCATACTTCAAGCAATTCATAATCATTAGAGCCAGACCGATATTATCAGCCGATATTAGGCATTTTCCATAATATCGGTATCAGCAGTTATAATGGCCGATAAATGAATATTTAAAAAATAAAATAAAAACGGATGAAACACGCTTCAATCATCTCTCCTTGGCCTGTTATATTAAAAATGTATGTTTTACAATTTGCAGTATGACGTTATCTATTGCTCATCATAGACTAGCTAACCACAAAGCTAGCTAACGCCACTATCATCAGTGGAAGACCGCTAACGTTAACATTAATGAGCTTGGAAACCACAATGAACTTTTTCTGCCTAAATAAAGTAATGATTACTGTATTAATAACTAGCATATCTCTAGTTACAGTCCCTGCATTGTAAAATGTAAGTTATACTTGCGAGGAGTGAACATTTAGACATAGAGAAAAAGTATCAAACGTATCTTGTGCAGAAAAGTTAGCTTTTCTTTTACACGTGTGTGAAATCCAACAATATTTAATAAAAAAAAAATATCGAACCCAACAATATTTGTATCGGTATCGGCCTTCAAAATCCTTTATCGGTCGGGCTCTAATAATCATCATGTTGAACAGTGTGCATCTGAAGGAATAATACATGATTTATCAGCTCTAATATATCATACACATTTTATTATTAGACCGATAACATTAAAAGTGAACATAATGATACCGATATGGTTGCCGATATCCAAGTAAACTTTAGGTGTGTTTTGAATCCGTGCTGGTCACCTCCTCTGTGTTCCTGCAAGGCGGAGCTCGGGAGTTTCGCACATCCTCCGAATATAGCGACGGTCAGGGGCGTGACCACAGAGCAGCATCTGACGCTAGCGATCCTGTGCGCACGCGTCATCTCGTCGTAAATCAGCCAATCACAGGGCAGGGACTCCACTGCTGCTGCCTGGCCATTGGCTGGAGGGATCTGGGTACAGATGTGTGGAGGAAAATAACTATTATGTTATTATTTAGATATAGGCGGCGAGCTACATAGGCCTACCGTGCCCCCCCCACCCCTCCCACCCCTCTACACAAAGGTCTGGATGTGTAGAATATGAATCTGAATGTTAACATTGAAAATTTTGGGTTGCACTACCTGTTTTAGGCCTCTGAATAGGGAAATCCTAAAAACGTTTTTAAGCGATTTTAACATTTCGAGATTGGCCTAGTCAATCAGAACAGCTTTTAAGGGACCCAATACACACTCAAACTTAACATATGATGACTTAGGTCAAATATCTACCATGCTGCTTATTGGTAGGCGTCTAAAATTAACATAGTTAAGGCTTTATGTTGACATAATGAGCCCATTTCATGCATAGGCCACGACCATTCGTCTATCATACACCCCAACCCCCTCCCCTGACAAAATCATGCTTTTCTGAAAGGTCTGGATGTGTAGAATATTAATCTGAATGTTAACATTGACATTTTTGGGATACACTACCTGTTTTAGCCCTGAATAGGGAAACTCTAAAAACGATTTTAAGCTATTTTAACGTGTTGAGATTGGCCTAGTCAATCAGAACAGCTTTTAGGTTACCCAATACTCTTACTACACTACATTGATAGTTACTTTAAATAGTTGTTTTTAATTATTTTTTATTTAATATAGTTAAGGCCTTGTATGGATATAATCGATCAAGGTCCATTTCCATAGTATCAGTTAATATGCTAATATACATTGTCTGACGTTCAAAAGTTTGGGGTCTGTAAGATTTTTTTATGTTTTTAAAAGGCTGCATTTATTTGATTTAAAATACAGTAAAAACAGCAATATTGTGAAATAATATTACAATGTAAAATAACAGTTTTCTATGTGAAAATACAGTAAAGTGTAATTTATTCCTGAATTTATCATCAGTCTTCAGTGTCACATGATCCTTCAGAAATCACTATATTCGAGGATCTGATGATCAAGAATTACATTTTTCAGGATTATTTGATTAATGAAAGGTATTTTTAAAATCGCTTTTGTAAAATCGATTCCCTATTTTCATTTTCGATACTTGTGTGTGTTGTTCTGATTGATTGTGCCGCCCTCGCTGTGATCCTCCACTCTGACCTTCTTGTACTGCGGCTGGCTCAGGACGGACGTGGGGTGGAAGCGAACCCTCTTCTCTCTGGAGCTCGTGAGGCTCAGGCTGTCCCGCTCCACATGGATCAGGTTGGGATACATCCCAGAAACCAGCGCGGCCTTGACCACCGCCCAGTTCTCCGAGTTCTGGTTCACGTCCCGGATGTCCCCGCCACCCCTCGCTCGCACGAACCCTGCGGAGACAAACAGCGCTTCGGTTCACCATCAGGACTCTTACTCACAGACTCTTCTTACTCAGTGTGTGTGTGTGTGTGTGTCTTGTGTCCAGTCCAAATATATGAACATTCTTAAAAACATTTACTAGATGAGTAAGGCCATGAGATATTATGTCTTGTTCTCCGGGGAATTAATCAAAATCTCATCATCATCTCGCTCTCGTGATTAATGAAATCTGACTCTGTTCTCTAACTGAACTAAATGAGTTTAAATTAAAAAAAAAAAAATATATATATATATACACACACACAGTATATGTAATATATATATATATATATATATATTTTTTTTTTTTTTTCTTTTTTTTATTTAAACTCATTTAGTACTCATTTAATATACTCATTTAACTCATTTAATATATATATTACAAACACTGTTACTGTAAAGATGCGGCTGTGAACTTTGACCTGTGGCCCGGAGCTGTCCCAGAAGCTGAGTCCGCATCCCGACGATGATCTCCATCGTGGCCTGAGAGAGGAAGTTCTTCTCACAGAACGCTCTTTCCCAGCCGTCACTGCGAGCTTTCTGCCACGCCTAAAGACAACAACAGTCAACTTCTGCGAAAACTAAAAAAACTAAAATAATAACCAATTCAAAATATGAATAAAAACTATATGTAAGCAATAAGGTACGAGAGGCTGTCCTGTATCGAGAGTAAGTCCCGTCTGAGGGCGTTGTTAGGCTCGACGCGAGCTGAAGCAGACTTAAAACAGCAAGAATAAAACTATTGACCAATCAGAATCAAGGATTGGAACTAACCGTTTTATAACAGTATTTATTCGCCCAACGATTCTATGCATCACTACACAACACCCCTAGCAACCACTCTTAGCAACGTAAACATGTTCTCATTGATGTTATATCATTGAAGCATGAGTATTGTGAGAGTGAGTGTACCTGCATTTACTGTAGATATGATATCATTTTCCTTCATCAAAAAATGTTTTAATATCCGCTGCGATATCTTTTAACAGTTAAGGGTTTTCCCGGGTCTTTAGTCATTTGTCAGTTGCGCTGCTTCTCCGTGTTCACAAGACGGCGAAATAAGTTATGCAAACCTCTGTTGCTGTTCAGTGTTCACAGTCAGGGACTATTTTATCCAGCGGAAGAAAGTGCTTTGAGTGTTTTTATCTCACGAAAGTTACATAGATAAATATATTTTAGCGTTAATATTTTTTGTGTTTCTGACCTGAGGTTATTAAGGTAATATTTCTGACCTGTGGTTATTACGGTAATATTTCTGACCTGAGGTTATTACGGTAGTATTTCTGACCTGAGGTTATTACGGTAATATTTCTGACCTGTGGTTATTACGGTAGTATTTCTGACCTGAGGTTATTACGGTAATATTTCTAACCTGAGGTTATTACGGTAATATTTCTAACCTGAGGTTATTACGGTAATATTTCTAACCTGAGGTTATTACGGTAATATTTCTGACCTGTGGTTATTACGGTAATATTTCTGACCTGAGGTTATTACGGTAATATTTCTGACCTGAGGTTATTACGGTAATATATCTGACCTGAGGTTATTACGGTAATATTTCTGACCTGTGTTTTTACGGTAATATTTCTGACCTGTGATTATTACGGTAATATTTCTAACCTGTGATTATTACGGTAATATTTCTGACCTGTGGTTTTTACGGTAATATTTCTAATCTAAGGTTATTACAGTAATATTTCTGACCTGTGGTTATTACGGTAATATTTCTGACCTGAGGTTATTACGGTAATATTTCTGACCTGTGGTTATTACGGTAATATTTCTGACCTGTGATTATTACGGTAATATTTCTAACCTGTAATTATTACGGTAATATTTCTGACCTGTGATTATTACGGTAATATTTCTGACCTGTGGTTATTAAGGTAATATTTCTGACCTGAGGTTATTACGGTAATATTTCTGACCTGTGATTATTACGGTAATATTTCTGACCTGTGGTTATTAAGGTAATATTTCTGACCTGAGGTTATTACGGTAATATTTCTGACCTGAAAGGCCCGGAGCAGGGCCATGTGGTCGCTGAAGGTGTTTGCGGTGAAGCGTTTCCGGCACAGCATGGCTCCGCGCTTCTGAGCGGCCTGAGCCGGCAGAACGAACGGGTCTCGGTGGGCCAGCGTACAGGCGATGGTGAGGATCGGGTCCAGACACTTCAGAACCACCGCACACAGAACCATCTTCCCCAGGTGCGGCTCCACGGGCAGGTCGGCCAGGTGGAAGCCCAGCTCCGTCAGGTTCTCCCAGGGGTCCATGGCATCGATGGTCTGTGGGAGGAGTCAGAGAGCAGGGCTTCAATGACACGCTTTATTACTCAGTCTTTTTGTCTAGTTTCCAGTCCAAATATCTAAACATTCTTAAGAGTTTTTGCTTTAAAAAAGCTAATGGGATAAAAAACACACACTTAATTCACAAAGAAACATGGTTACTTTTCCTACTCATCTGCACCAATTCAGATGGGACTGTTTTCTGAACCACGGATCTGATAATGACTGTGTTGTAATGTTTGCGTGACCTTGAGCATCTGCACGGCGTGTTTGACCGTGTGCATGTGCGGCGGCTCAGGTGCTCTCGACAGGAACTCCGCGATCGGGCAGGAGACGGGAGCCAGGAGCTTAGTGTGCAGACACAGTTCCTGAGAAACACACACAGTTATTTTAGTCCTGGTCATTTCTGTGAAGCTCAGATGGACATGTGGTGTGTGTGTGTGTGTGTACCTGCAGAGGCATGCGCAGTAGCTGTGGAATCTGATGTTCCAGCATGTTGTTGAACCTCAGACGGCTGAAGAGATGGAAGCAGATCCCCGGTCTGCAGCGCCCCGCTCTAAACAACAAAAACACACGTCTTCATCAGCTCTGCAATCAAACGCTGGCCATGTTTCGGCCGGAGACTCACCCGGACCATCACACACACACACACACCTGCCCTTCCTCTGCAGAGCGCTGGCCTTCGAGATCCACACCATCTTCAGCATCGTCACGTTATTCAAAGCGTCGTAGGCTTTCTGTAACAGTCATTTAAAGATGTTTACAGATTGAGTGTTCATCAGAGGGTCCAAGACCCCAGGACTTTATCACACTTGAACCACGGACACACACAAAATGTCAAGGATTCGAGGAGCTTTGTGGTTGAAATGTAAAAAAGTAGCCCCTCAGGAATGACTGGAATGCTTCAGTTCACATAGAAAACCCTAAACATGCTCAAAATTCAAACTAAAAATGCTAAAACTTTACTAAAACAATATTTTAAATATAATATTTAAATAATATTTAATATTTAAATATTTTACAAAAAATATTTCATAACGGCTTTAGGCAGTTATGAAATATCATGTGTTATTATTATTGTCCACAAGACGGCACAGACTCCTAATGTGAGATATTTACAGCTGAACTAAAAGGAGTGACGCAGGAAATTGAGTTATTTTGAATTTAAGTTGAAAGAATGTGAGGAATGTGCTTACATTTTCTATTTATTTATTATTTATTGATCAAATCTAGTGATTTAAAATTAAATACAATTTTAAAATTTAAAAAAAATCTCCCGAAAAGAAAAAAAAAATCATTAAAAAATAGAAAAAAGATTATCAAAATAAAATAAAATAAATAAGCTTTCTGGAAATAAATAAATAAATAAAATTGAGCATAATTTTAGGGCTTCGGGTCATTTTGACCCGCGAGGGAAAGATGCGTTACGGGGAAGGATGAGGGTCCAGTCCAGTAATACAGAACTGAAGCAAACAAGATAATTTACCAAAATATGTTCACAAAATATATGATCAGCAGAGAAAAACACCCACACCTCTTTAACTTTGCCGGAGTCGATGACAAAAACAACATCGTTGACCGTAATGCTGGTCTCTGCGATGTTGGTCGAGAGAATCTGTGGATTGAGAGGAGATTGTGTGAGATTTTAAAAGTGTGTGTGTGTGGTTTATAGATGTGAGAGGAAGATGTACGCACGATCTTGCGAACCCCTTTAGGGGTGTTCCTCAGAACCTTCTTCTGGTCTGACGTCTGCATGCTGGAGTGAAGGATGAACACCTGAAACCTGCAGGAGATCCTCACTGTCAACACAACATCTAACAATAACACATGCACACTTGTCTCACGCTTGGTCACACTGAGCTCCTTTCTGCCACGCAATAAAACAATTAAAAGGTAATTGTGACTTATAATCTTATATAATTATTATATATGTATGTATGTAGAACTGACAATAAAGCATACATACTTATATTCTGACATCATTTCAAGCAATTCCGCGTCTCTATCTCACAATTATGACTTTTTTTATGCAATTCCGATTTCATTTCCCGCAATTCTGACTTTATTTCCAACAACTCCAAGTTTATATCTCACAATTTTGACTTTATTTCACGCAATTCCGCGTTTCTATATCAAAATTCTTGCTTTTATCCCAACAATGCTGAGTTTATATCTCACAATTTAGATTTTATTTTACACAATTGCTTGTTTATATCTCACAATTATGATTTTATTTACTAAATTCTGTCTTAATTTCCATCAATTCCAAGTTAATACATGTATCTCACAATTCCCAGTTCATATCTCACAATTCCCAGTTGATATCTTACAATTACCAGTTCATATCTTACAATTCCCAGTTCATAACTCGAAATTCCCAGTTCATATCTCACAATTCCCAGTTCATATCTTACAATTACCAGTTCATATCTTACAATTCCCAGTTCATATCTCACAATTCCCAGTTCATATCTTACAATTACCAGTTCATATCTTACAATTCCCAGTTCATAACTCGAAATTCCCAGTTCATATCTCACAATTCCCAGTTCATATCTTACAATTCCCAGTTCATATCTCACAATTCCCAGTTCATATCTCACAATTCCCAGTTCATATCTCACAATTCCCAGCTCATATCTTACAATTCCCAGGTCATATCTCACAATTCCCAGTTCATATCTCACAATTCCGAGTTCATATCTCAAAATTCCCAGTTCAAATCTCGAAATTCCCAGTTCATACCTCACAATTCCCAGTTCATATCTCGAAATTGCCAGTTCATATCTCACAATTCCCAGTTCATATCTCACAATTCCCAGCTCATATCTCACAATTCCCAGTTCATATCTCGAAATTGCCAGTTCATATCTCACAAATCCCAGTTCATATCTCACAATTACCAGTTCATATCTCACAATTCCCAGCTCATATCTCACAATTCCCAGTTCATATCTCGAAATTCCCAGTTCATATCTCACAATTCCCAGTTCATATCTCACAATTCCCAGCTCATATCTCACAATTCCCAGTTCATATCTCGAAATTGCCAGTTCATATCTCACAATTCCCAGTTCATATCTCACAATTGCCAGTTCATATCTCGAAATTGCCAGTTCATATCTCACAATTCCCAGTTCATATCTCACAATTCCCAGCTCATATCTCACAATTCCCAGCTCATATCTCACAATTCCCAGCTCATATCTCACAATTCCCAGTTCATATCTCACAATTCCCAGTTCATATCTCACAATTCCCAGTTCATATCTCGAAATTGCCAGTTCATATCTCACAATTCCCAGTTCATATCTCACAATTCCCAGCTCATATCTCACAATTCCCAGTTCATATCTCGAAATTGCCAGTTCATATCTCACAATTCCCAGTTCATATCTCACAATTCCCAGTTCATATCTTACAATTCCCAGTTCATATCTCAAAATTCCCAGTTCATATCTCAATATTCCCAGTTCATATCTCACAATTCCCAGTTCATATCTCACAATTCCCAGTTCATATCTTACAATTCCCAGTTCATATCTCAAAATTCCCAGTTCATATCTCAAAATTCCCAGTTCATATCTCACAATTCCCAGTTCATAACTCACAATTCCCAGTTCATATCTCACAATTCCCAGTTCATATCTCAAAATTCCCAGTTCATACCTCAAAATTCCCAGTTCATATCTCACAATTCCCAGTTCATATCTCACAATTTTTATTTTATACGCAATTCTGAGTTTATCTCACACAATTTAGATTTTTTTCCCAGCAATTCCCAGTTTATCTCTCACAATTCCGAGTTCAATTTCCGCAATTCCAACCTTATGTCCTACAATTCTGACATTTTTATTGACTTTGAATTGTGAGACATGAGACAAGCAATTTTCAGTTGAAAAATCCAGTCCCTGCATGATTTCCAGCTGAATATTGCATTAGAACAGAAGGAAACACACACCACAGACACTCACACACACCTTTGCTGGTGATCCATGAACCTTTTATCATCAAAGACGATGCGATCTCTCAGAGACACGATCTCATCGTAGCCGGGCAGGAAAATCAACACCGCGCCTGAGGACAAACACTTCTAAATAAAGCTTATTATGATTATGATTATGCTGATATGTGAGTGTGTTTAAAGGAGTAGTTCACTTCAGAATAAAACATTTCAGATTTTTTACTCTCCCGCATGTCATGTGTTTCTTTCCTCAGTCGTAAAGAAATGAAGGTTTTTGAGGAACACACATAGTGTCTTCAATGGGGTCCAACGGGTCGAAGGTCAGATGTGAGTTTCAGTGAAGTCTCGACACGATCCAGCCGAGGAATGAGAGTCTGATCTAGACTATACTACGTCACTGCATTTCTTTCCGACCGAAGAGAGAGAGACATGAACAGTGTAAAGCTGGAGTGGGCGGAGCCTGCGTGTGGGCCACGCCCCCGTCCTCACCCTCGTCGGAGCTCTGGCAGATGCTGGACAGCAGGTGCAGGATGAGGTCCAGATCCACCTTCTCGTCGTCGAAGCTGTGATGATACGCTTTGAGACGCTCCTGGTCCTCAGAGCTCAGATCAGATGTGGAGGACTGAACCAGAGACGCCTCGTCCAGACGACCCGGCTCGACACCCCATCTGCACACACACACACACACACACACACACACACAGCTGGTTTACTATCTTTGTGGGGACTCTCCATAGACATAATGGTTTTTATATTGTACTAACTGTGTATTCTGTCCCCTAACCTAACTAACCCTAAACCTACCCATCACACACACACACACAGTTCTTACATGTGAGACTCCAGCAGATCTACAGCCTCGGGTTGCTCGAAGCGTTTCGCCCAGTCGAGAGCCGTCCTGAAGTAAACATTACATTAGCAGAAGCTTACAAAAGTGCTTTACATACTAATATATATGTTGAGATCATTGATATACTATTATAGTTTTTGTTAGTAATTCGAATTTTTACTATGATTTCAATTTATAAATACCTGTGGTTATTGTGGTAATATTTCTGACCTGAGGTTATTACGGTAATATATTTGACCTGAGATTATTACGGTAATATTTCTGACCTGAGGTTATTGTGGTAATATTTCTGACCTGAGGTTATTACGGTAATATATTTGACCTGAGATTATTACGGTAATATTTCTGACCTGTGGTTATTGTGGTAATATTTCTGACCTGAGGTTATTACGGTAATATATTTGACCTGAGATTATTACGGTAATATTTCTGACCTGAGGTTATTACGGTAATATTTTTGACCTGTGGTTATTGCGGTAATATTTCTGACCTGAGGTTATTACGGTAATATTTCTGACCTGAGGTTATTACAGTAATATTTCTGACCTGAGGGTATTACGGTAATATTTCTAACCTGTGATTATTACGGTAATATTTCTGACCTGAGGTTATTACGGTAATATTTCTGACCTGAGGTTATTACGGTAATATTTCTGACCTGAGGTTATTACGGTAATATTATTAGAATTTTTACTATGATTTCAATTTATAAGTTATAATCAGTTTTTTGGGGGGCAAAAATAATAAATAATATGAAAAATAATATTATTAATATATTAGTCTTTATTCATTCTTATTATTTGTTTTAGTTTATATGTAATTTTCTGGCTAAAAAATCAAATAAAGTAAACATTTTCCAGTGGGTTCAGAAAAAGTATCTTGATTTAAGAATGTTTAGATATTTGTGCTGGAAAACAACACTAATATTGCATCATTTAAAGCCATGACGAGTGGACCTCTGAGCTGAGCGAGTGACTGGAGGCGGGGCTAATTTGCATATTCATAGAACCACGCATTGTAAAAGAGGCGAGGGTGTCGAGTTACACTGGTGATCAAATATGAGTATTAGGGATAAAATGATTGACTCCAGGGGGACTTGTGTTTATTTCAGTCAGCATGTGTGTGTGTGTGTGTGTGTGTGTGTGTCCTCACCAGCCGTTGGAGGCTCTGATGTTGACGTTTGCGCCCATGCTGAGCAGCTGCTCCATCTGACAGAGGAACCCTCGACCCGAGGCCACCATCAGAGCAGTGGCGCTCGTCTCGCTGTGCCTGTAATCCACTGAGAGAGCACAGACACGTGACGAACACACACCACACTTCGGCTCAGAGAGTGTTTGAGTGTGTGTGTGCGACTGCATTACCACTGATGTTCTCGTTCAGGATGAGATTGAAGATCTGTATGAAGGCGTCAGCGTCTTGGTTCAAGAAAATGTTTGAGATGCAGGCGTCCATTTCCCTGAGGAGCCACGGCTCTAGCGAGGCCACGTCCTTCTCGCTCTGAGTGCGCGCAGAAAAGAAGTGATTGAAACATCATTACGCTATTACTACGTCATTGTGCTATTTCTACTTCATTGCGCTATTTCAACGACATTACGCACTATTTCTACATCATTACACTATTTTTACATCGTTACGCTATTTCTACGTCATTACGCTATTTCAACGACATTACGCACTATTTATACATCATTACACTATTTTTACATTGTTATGCTATTTCTACGTCATTACGCTATTTCAACGACATTACGCACTATTTCTACATCATTACGCTATTTCTACATCATTACGCTATTTCAACGACATTACGCACTATTTCTACGTCATTGCGCTATTTTTACATTGTTATGCTATTTCTACGTCATTATGCTATTTCAACGACATTAAGCACTATTTCTGTCATTACGCTATTTCTACATCATTACGCTATTTCAACGACATTACGCACTATTTCTACGTCATTGCGCTATTTCAACAACATTACGCACTATTAATACATCATTACACTATTAGAAATGCCGTAATGACGATAGCTATGTGCTATTTTTACGTCATTACACCATTTCGACATCATTACGCTATTTCTACCTCATTACGCTATTTCAACGACATTACACACTATTTCTATGTCATTACATTATTTCTTCATCGTTACGCTATTTCAGCGACATTACGATATTTCTACGTCATTACGCTATTTCAACGACATTACGACCAATTTATACATCATTACACTATTTCTACATCGTTATGCTATTTCTACGTCATTACGCTATTTCAACGACATTACGCTATTTGAACGACATTGTGCACTATTTCTACATCATTACACTATTTCAACGACATTACGCACTATTTCTACGTCATTGCGCTATTTTTACATTGTTATGCTATTTCTACGTCATTATGCTATTTCAACGACATTAAGCACTATTTCTGTCATTACGCTATTTCTACATCATTACGCTATTTCAACGACATTACGCACTATTTCTACATCATTGCGCTATTTTTACATTGTTATGCTATTTCTACATCATTGCGCTATTTCAACGACATTACGCACTATTAATACATCATTACACTATTAGAAATGCCGTAATGACGTAAAAATAGCACATATGTGCTATTTTTACGTCATTACACCATTTCGACATCATTACGCTATTTCTACCTCATTACGCTATTTCAACGACATTACGCACTATTTCTACGTCATTGCGCTATTTCAACGACATTACGCACTATTAATACATCATTACACTATTAGAAATGCCGTAATGACGTAAAAATAGCACATATGTGCTATTTTTACGTCATTACACCATTTCGACATCATTACGCTATTTCTACCTCATTACGCTATTTCAACGACATTACACACTATTTCTATGTCGTTACATTATTTCTTCATCGTTACGCTATTTCAGCGACATTACGATATTTCTACGTCATTACGCTATTTCAACGACATTACGCACTATTTATACATCATTACAGTATTTCTACATCGTTATGCTATTTCTACGTCATTACGCTATTTCAGCGACATTGCGCTATTTGAACGACATTGTGCACTATTTCTACATCATTACACTATTTCAACGACATTACAGACCATTTCTGTCATTACGCTATTTCAACGACATTACGCCCTATTTATACATCATTACACTATTTCTACATCGTTATGCTATTTCTACGTCATTATGCTATTTCAACGACATTACGCTATTTCAACGACATTACACACTATTTCTACATCATTACGCTATTTCTACGTCATTACGCTATTTCAACGACATTGCGCTATTTGAACAACATTGTGCACTATTTCTACATCATTACACTACGACATTACGCTATTTCTACCTCATTACGTTATTTCAACGACATTACAGACCATTTCTGTCATTAAGCTATTTCAACGACATTACGCTATTTCTACGTCATTACGCTATTTCAACGACATTACGCACTATTTCTACATAATTACGCTATTTCTTCTTCATTACGCTATTTCAACGACATTAAGCTATTTCAACAACATTACTCACTATTTCTATATCATTACGCTATTCTACATCGTTACGCTATTTTAGCGACATTACGCTTTTTCTACATCATTACGCTATTTCTACGTCATTACACAATTTCAACAACATTACGCACTATTTCTACGTCATTACGCTATTCGCTATTTCTACCTCATTACACAATTTCAACGACATTACGCACTATTTACATCATTCTGCTATTTCTATGTCATTACGATATTTTTACATCATTACGGCATTTCTGTGTCATTGCACATGCGCAGTGCTTTCGGTTTCGGTTCTCAATCCAATCAAATGTTTACATGTTCTCTAGATAGGTTTAGGAAAGGAATAAAACGCCCCATTGAATCCGATCGATATTTAATTTGGAACGATTAATGCGTTTACATAAATTGAGCCATCAATCACATTACTAACGTATTATTTGGTTGCAGGTACGTGACCACTGAGTAATGATGTGAGAAAGAGCATAAGAAGAGACCATCTGGCTGAACACACTGTCTCCTCCGTCGTCCAGGAGGTCGTTCTCGGGCAGGACACAAGATGGCGTCCTTTCCCGGGCCGGCTCTGGGTCCGGGTCGGCCCGATGGGACTCACACCACTGCGTCAGAGACGACTGCTGCCGCTCCTCTGAAGAAGGAACATTTATTTATTTTTCTTTAAATAAATTCGTTCAGGCTTTAAAATAAACATTGTTTGTGGGCTAATTAATGCCACAATAATTCATATTTATTTTAAAGGGCTACTTATAGTATTCAGTTTTGCATTGAAGACCATTTAAAGGATTTTTTTGAAGAAACTGCAAGCTTTTGTGGTCAAAAAACTGTTTTTAACTCATAAATGTTTCTTGATCATCAGATCCTCATATTAGAGTGATTTCTGAAGGATCATGCGACACTGAAGACTGGAGTAATGATGATAAATTCACAGGAATAAATTACACTTTACTGTATATTCACATAGAAAACAGATGATTTACATTATAATAATATTTCACATTTTTACTGTATTTTTGATGAAATAAACGCAGCCTTGCTGAGCGGAAGAGACTCTTTGAGCGCTGCTGTGTTTAATCTGTAAGCGTCACCTTTCTGCGCCTCCTTCTTGTATTTGATCATGTCTTTGTTGGTGTATCCGGTGGTTCGCAGGATATCCTCCAGAAAGAGTTGCTTGACCTCGTATGGACAACCTTTGACTTCAAAGAAAATCACCGTTATTATTCAACTCTCTCATTTCAAAACATCACATTGCTTTATCACTGGTTGAGCTAAACTGGTATAATCTAATTGTGTAGTTCAATGTAACAGCTGACAGATATTCAACATAATTCATGTGTGAGAGTCCAACAGAAGGACGGACAAAACCAGTCACATATCCACTGATCTGAGAACTGTTTGAGTGTTTTTGTTTCGTACTGTGAATAACGGGACACGCGCCGAAGTATCTGATGAACAGACTGACGTCCAGCGCGGCGCTAGACAGGATTAGCTTTAGCGACGGCATCTTCTGAAGCATGTCCTTCATCTTCGTGAGCAAGAAGTCCGTCAGTCCGTCTCGCTCGTGCACCTCGTCCTGCAGGAGCACAACCAGCACGAGCATCAGGGTCTATAAAATTAAAATGTCCAATCCTTTTATCTTATCGATTCCTTTGTGAGCAGTTCAATATGAGTGTGTCAGTGATTTTAAAACATTCACTGCAAAAAAAACCTGTTCTTACTTTGTCTTGTTTTCAGTCCAAATATCATAAGATTCTTAAATCAAGAAGCATTTACTAGATGAGTGAAATAACATAATCTTTTTTTTCTGGCGGAATTAAACAAAATTAATTGAGTTGATAATTTAAAAAGGCAAAATGATATATTATATAGAAAAATATAATCAAACAGATTATTTTTCAGACCCTGTAAAAACATGTGTCCTGTCATGATTGTGAAGGTGTCCTGTCGGTCTTATGCACTCCCGTTCACGTTTAGTGTTGAATTCTCGAAGTCTCACCACAATGACGTGCGTGACCATCGACATCGCGTCGTCTCCGGCCATCAGCGTCCTCAGCAGAACTCCACTCGTGCAGAACGTCAGCAGGGTTTTAGGAGAGACTCTGAGGAGAAGCACATACCCAGAATTCATCAGCACATTCGCAGTCGTTCAGGACATTACGTGGAGGCAAAACAAAGGGAAACTGGAGGCGGGAAATACAGTGATGTGAATAAGTTTGGACACCCATGCTAAAGTTGCCTAAAAAGAGGAATAAAAAAATCATCTTTTGGATATTGATCTTGATGCCTTAATTAGAAAAATGAGGAAAACTCCAACCTTTAAGGACACAAATTTTCTTTGTGAATGAATAATGTATCATAAATAAATAAATGTTTTTCCTTAAAATACAGGGTGCGTAAGTCAGGGTTAAATTCCCATAGAGTCAGGCAGATTTTTATTTTTAAAAGCCAGTTATTTCATGGATCCAGGATAATATGCATCCTGATAAAGTTCCCTTGGCCTTTGGGATTAAAATATCCCCACATCATCATCACACACCTTCCACCACACCTAGAGATTGGCATGGTTTTACTTCAGTTAGCCTATGGTGTGTGTGATGATGTGGGGATATTTTATTTCCAAAGGCCAAGGGAACTTTATCAGGATGCATATTATCCTGGATCCATGAAATAACTGGCTTTTAAAAATAAAAATCTGCCTGACTCTATGGGAATTTAACATAGGGGGTCATGACTTATGCACCCTGTATTTTAAGGAAAAACATTTATTTATTTATGATACATTATTCATTCACAAAGCAAATTTGTGTCCTTAAAGGTTGGAGTTTTCCTAATTTTTCTAATTAAGGCATTAAGATCAATATCCAAAAGATGATTTTTTATTCCTCTTTTTAGGCAACTTTAGCATGGGTGTCCAAACTTATTCACATCACTGTACATCCCAGCAGTTTCGGCTGCATCCGGCGCTTACGATCTTGTCTTGAGTGGTTGGGCGTGAGAATCGACTCCGAATTAAGTTTATTGCATTACTGCAAAAAAAGCTTTTCTTACTCAGTATTTGTGTCTTGTTATCAAAAAAGCTTAATTATTTGCCAATGGGGTGAAAAAAAATGTTAATTCAAACAGAAACAAGATTATTTCTCTGACCCTTTGGCAGATATTTTTGCTAGTTTTAGGCAAAAACTCACTTACTTTTGATTTATTTCCCCAGAAAACAAGACTTATTATATCTAATCTTATGGCATTTCACTCATCTAGTAAATGCATCTTGATTTGAGAATGTTTTGCTATATTTGGACTGGAAATGAGACATTTTTTTGGCGTGTAGGATGTGTGACACACTCCTAACTCTCGAGGGACAGTCTGCTAATGGTGTGTGTTGTGCACCTGCTCTCCAGGCGGATCTGATAGCCGACGGTCTGCCCGATCTTCTCTCCGCGCTCGGCCGCCACACGCTCCGCCACCGCGATCGTCGCCAGTCTCCGGGGCTGAGTGCAGAAGATCCGGCAGGGAATCCCATTCACACTGCAGTCGTCCAGCAGGAACTGGGGGATCTGGGAGAGGAGGAACACGTTTAATCTCATGTAAAGAGTGCTTAATCCAGACCGATTTATTTGTAAGTTGCATAAGTTTATGAAAAACAATATTTGATATGTTATGAAACATGTTGAACTTTAAAACTGCTAGAAAATCAAAGACATTAATCTAAACAAGTTGTCATAAATTTGAAATTCATATCTCAAAAAGTTGGGCGCACTAACACCCATTAGACACACACACACACTTTTTTTTTATACACTCTGACATCCACACCTACAGACCCACACAATTATAGCTGCATAATTTATCTAATCGGCTTTATAATATGCATGAGCATAGCGAGTTTTTGCTTTGAAAACGACTCCATCTGGTGTACATTATGAAGCCTTTCCAACAGAAGGAAAACATAATTAACAAAGATTGCATCATTTTTATAGTTAAAAGGCCCTGGGATTAAAAATTTCCGCTTTAATTGGTTTCAATGGGGACATTTCTGTTCTTCAGGTCCTGAGAGGAACTGTTTTGTGTAACTAGTGCAAAATAGATTTTTAAAAGGAAATAGGGGTGAAATAGAACGAGTCCAATAAAAATGCACATATGAGCCAAAACATATGCAGTAGACTCGATTATCAAAAAAACTAAATTGAAAAAGACAAATATGTCCATAAGGTCACAACATTTTTGATGAAATAATGTACTTTATTTTAGTTGGATAATGTTTTTTTATTTAATATTTAGTATTTTTAGGGGATTTTATGGTACTATATTATATTTACGCTGTATTTATAATCCATTTATTCTGATAATTTAACGTCCAGCTTAAACTGTGGAGAATCTGGAACGCTTTAGAGCGACAGACTGAAGTTTGATCTCTTCTCAAACACCACACTTGCAGATTATTGCTGAAGAGAACAATTTTACGTTTATTGTTATGAAAAATGCACAAAAATATAGTTTTTTATGAAGTCTAAAAATGCGGTTTTATAGACGGAGATAATGTGAGGCGTAAGTGTGTGTTCGGCGTGTGAGCTGATCTCTCAGTAAACCAGCGTTCAGTGAGATGTTGTTCGGCTGCAGTTCCAAACGCTTCCACTAGAGGAAACTCGTCTCGCATTCATTTCCAATGCGCCATTTCTGACCGCGACGAGCACAAGTGTGACGCCCATCATGTGTGTGTGTGTGTGTGTGTGTTCGTGTTCACACAGCAAGTGCCAAAACTTTTACCAAGTTTTAGACCATTCATTCAAAAAATGTTCTCTGAACAGCAAAACACACGGGTCCGGCTGGGGTTATGATGACGCAGACGTGTTTGAGTGTTTTATGGATGTTTTACGGTCCTGACCTGTGTGGTTTTGCCTGAGCCGGTCTCCCCCAGGACCAGCACCACCTGGTTCTCCCTGATGGTTTGGACCAGCTCGTCCCGACGCTCATACACGGGCAACGATCTCCGGAAACAATCCAGTTCAGACGGGCCTCGCATGTGAGGGACCTGAGGGATCCCGTGGCTGAGACGCCCGCTCGTCCTGCTTTTACTGTCTAGAGGAAGCAGAACAACAGATGAGGAGAACGAGAGAGTTTTGGGATCTCATAAATGTTCAAATCCAGCCTCGAACACAGCACCAAACGTCTGGAATCATTACGATTATTTTATTTTATTTATTTTCAAGTCTGCTCACACTGCAAACAATGCGTTTCTAACTCTGTATATTTATCTTGTTTCCGCTTTTTTGCGCCGACCCGCCCAGGGAGCGCGAGTTCATTTCCTAGTTTACCGGCGTGCGTCTTTGCGCGGGTGCAAATACGAATGACACACGCGTCAGTGTACGAAGTCAATTGCGCCGGGTGCAAGATAGGGCCCTATATCTTGTTTTCCAATTAAATAAAAATAAAAATAAAATTTAGTGAGTTTTTGCTGAAAAGAAGCACAATGATATGCCAATTAGATCAGAAAATTGTTAGATAAGTCCTTAACCCTTGTGCATCAATTAAAAAAAGTTACACATAGGTAAAAAGAAAATGTGACGCTTTGGAGCAAAGACTTAAGTTTGGTATCATTTTAAAGAAGACCCTTTGCAGATTATTGCTGAAGTAAAAAAATAATAATAAGTAAATCCAAAAAAAAAAAAGTTATATAGTTATAAGTTTATGTTTTTAAATATTTTACATGAAATATATATTTTATAAATCAGGTTGAACTCAAAACTGCAATAAAATCAAAGCCATAAATCTAAATAGGTTGTGTTCCAAATTTGAGGATGATATCTCAAAAAATGAGCTTTCGGTAACAGTTTGTTTGGGCGTAGTAACATCATTTCCCCACTGGGTGGCAGCAAAACCCCACTGGAGCTCACAGTGATTGGATTTGAATTTGCAGTTTTTCTCTCTCAGTATTACAAACACACACATGTATAGCACACACACACACACATATTTTTTTATAACACACATACTAACCACACTCTGACATCCATACCAACACACCCACACAAATATCGTTGCATAATTTATCCCGTTGGCTCTATAATGTGCTGAAGCAGAAAACAGGAATAAAGCGATATTTGTTTTATAGGCCAAACTTAAAAAAAAAATGGCACCATCTGATAAAAAAATAGTAAAAAATTAATTTTTGAAGCCTTGCCATCAGAATGAAAGCCTCTTAACAAAGATTGCATAATTGTATGGTTAACTGAACCAGGGATTAAAAAATGGCAGTTTTAATGGGTTTCAATGGGGACATTTTTGTCCAAAAGGTGCTGAGAGGGAGTATTTTTTGTACCTAATGCAAAAAATATTTTTTTTAAGAAAATGACGGTGAAATAGTAAAATTCCAATAAAAATACACACCTGTGGCAAGTTTTTTGCAGTTAGCTTTAACACAGGCAAAGTGATCCAAAAAACAAAACTGAAAAGGACAAAAATGTCCATAAGGATGCACAAGGGTTAAAAAGTGATTTCTAAAAGCGAGTCTCTCTCTTTGCTGTGAGTGTGTGTGTGTGTGTGCAGATGTTGTTTACGCTCAAACTGCAGCATTACACACTAACTACAGCTAATCATCCGCCTGTTCTTCTCAGTGACTCTGATGATCTGTGTATGGATGGAGGCGTCTCTACAGGACTGAACCGCAGTAAAGCTTCTGATCGAGTCGACACACACCGACTCCCTGTCACTCGTGAGTTCGGACGCTTGTGGTGCGGTGCGGGAGACTCGCCAGTGTCGGGGGACGCGAGCACGGCCCTCTCGCTGCGCGGCTGGAGCTCGCTGCGCTCCTTGTTGGTGATGGGGAACCTCTGCAGGAGGCTCTGCACCATGTGTTTGGAGCTGTGTGTGAGGTCACAGGTCATGACGGAGTGAGCCGACTCCGTGCCGTCCTTCTTCCTCACGGTCAGACATCGACTCGAGCCTTTCCTGCAGACACATCAGAACATCTCAGTCTTCTGCTCACCTTTATTTACTACATATATTGTTTCAAATCAATCAGAGATGTCGTGATCATCAGTAACTTTGTAGTCTTACAGCATTAGGAGTAACGCTCGGTCACCAGCTCGTGTAATAATACATAAACGTCCATTCTGCTTGAGTTAGTGTGATATGCGACTCAACTTACCCCCTGCTTTTCGAGACGTAGCCGAGCGACTGAGCAAGCCGATGAACGAACGCTCTCTCGGCATTGGTCAATGAAGAAGGGAAATCCAGCTCTATGAGACAAAACAGCCGTTAAAGTCCCCCTGTGGTGTAAATCCAGCGTTTAATGTTGTTTATGTGTGTGTGTGGTGTGTTTAATCCGCTTTAACACACACACCATGTGTAAGTCGATAAGTGGACAGCATTGCTGAATATTTTGAACCAAAGACAGTCTCAAAAACACGCTTTGAAATCGCTGGTGTTTCTGACGTCACAAACCACCTTGTAACCAATCAGATCAACGTGTGATCGTCAACCAGTGGATCTCTGAGTGAGTGAGTGGAGACGGGGCTCATTTGCATATTCATAGAACCGCGCATTCTAAATGAGGCAAGAGTGTCGAGTTACATTCAAGCTACATAAATACATACATTTATTTTAAAGGAAAACACATTTAAATATGCCATTTTTGTGAGTTTTAAGGGTTGAAATTAGTGACTTGAGGGGGACTTATAATAAATATAATAAAACAACAAAAAAATCCGACAGCTGACTCTGGTTAATTAACCATTGGTTCCTTGATATCATCTCGCTTACACTGCAAAAAAACAGGCCAAATATCTAAAAATTCTTAAATCAAGATGCATTTACTAAATGAGTGAAAGGACATGAGATATTATGTCTTGTTTTCTGGGACAATAAATAAAAAATTGAGTTTTTGCTTAAAAAAAGGGGTAAAAAAAAAAATCTTGTTTCTGTTTGAATTAAGTGTTTTTTTCTGACCCCATTGGTAGATAATTTTACTTTTTTAAGTAACAACTCTCTTCATTTTAATTAATTCCACAGAAAACAAGACATAGTATATTATGGCATTTTACTCATCTAGTAAACACATATTGATTTAAGGATATTTAGACTGGAAACAAAACATAAATACTAAGTAAGAAAAGCATTTAATGCAGAGGTTAGCTTCCACTGGGATTACTTTCATATCCCTCTGAAATCATCTAAAGTCCCCAGCGGCGTTCCCCAGGGCTCTGTGCTGGGCCCTCTCCTGTTCATTATTTACTTGCTTCCACTTGGTTATATTTTTAGGATATATGGTGTCCTCACCTGTCCAAACTTCAGTTGTTGTTTTTTTGCACTTTTTGAGTAAAAAAAAAAAAAGTTCACTCAAGCTTAATCGCCTCAAAAAAAATATAAACACAAAACCCGTGCTAATCGAAAGCAATCAAGTTGACAAAAGGATTGAATCTCAACAACAGTCTAACCAGAGATTTACTAGTGATTTTTAATGAAACCACCAAATGAGGTACAGGGTTTTCAGGATGAGAGCCACAGAACTCGAACCTTTGTCGTCGCTGTACTGGAACCTCTCCAGCGCGATGTTCACGGAGATCTTGACCTCCTCATCGATCCTGATGTCTTTGAGTCCTTTAGCTTTCAGAGAGGGCGTCTGCTTAGACGCGTTCATGCTCGATTTACGTGACATCTCTTCTCCCTGCACGCAAGAACACAACGCCAAAGTCATGTTTGTACTTTGTAGTCAACTATTCTCAGTAAACATTACATATTCACATTCTGCTTTTATCACTAAGGTTACATAATCTTATGTTTATGGCCTCTTTAAGGGGAATCTCTTGTTGTATTTCTCGTCTTTGGATAAAAGCGTCTGCTAAATCAGGGGTTTTCAATCATTTATATTCTTGTTTAAGACCCAATACTAAAAAATTAATATTGTAAATATTCAGTTTCTGGTAAGTTTTATTATTAAAAGTCATTTGTTTAATTACTCATATTTATGTATTTTAATCTTATTTTGTTAGTTATTACATTTATTTTAATCTAATTGTGTTATTTATTTATTTTATATTTATAATATTCATTTATATATAATATACACACACAATAGACGCTTATTTGTTAAATTACTCATTTAAATCTTTTTTTGTTACTTATTTTATATTTTACACACTTTTTTCTCTAAACTTTTCCACAGTTTTTATACTAAAATTATACTGGATTAATAAATGTATCTCTGCAATCATTTAAAACATTGATATAAAAGTATTTCGTTTAGGTAGTTTTCTTGTGAATTATTATTTATTTCATTCTACATCCCAGTAAAGCCAGTTTGTACAAGCAAACAGAAGATATAAATATAATACTATACAAATTGTAAAGATGTTTTTAAAAAAAACTCCATGTAAACTCGGTGTGCGTTAGCAGCTACTGCTAAACTGACTTATTTAACACTAAAATACTATATTCAACACACTGACATCTGCTCAAATACCACAAAAAAGCAAGAAAAACAGTGTTTTAACTCATATGCTGGTTAATATTGCGTTTATAGGAATGCTGTCCATTCATTGAGCTTCACGAGCGTCGCTAGCATCACTTCAGTTTATTTACCGCACAATAAGAATAAAAAAAAACAGCAACATCTTACGTGTTTTGAGCATCTGAGGAGAACACAGTGTGAAAGCAGAAAGCTTTAAGAGCCCAGAAGGTTAAATTCGCCTGTCAGTCACTGGTGTGTTTGGATTAGTTGTTTCTGCCTGTAAAGAATCGAAACTGAGGCGCTGCTCCGTCTGCGCATGCGCAACAGATCTACAGCTCATTCCTCTGACGTCACTACAGCAACATGTTGTGCGGAGATCAGATAAATGTAAATTTATTTTGGTCTTGTGAATTCACTTATAAGTTCTGGAAAGACTTAAATTCATTTATAGTTGAAAATATTCTTCCTGAGTTCTCCCTGTACTACAAAAATGTAATTTTTGGTTGCTTTAATAACTGTGGGAAGGACAGTAGTGCACTCTTTCTAGTAAACCTAATCTTATTCGTTGCCAAATTCCATATCCATAAGTGTAAATTCAGTAATAAAAAGCCTCTTTTTTCTGTGCTAAAAGCTGAAATGGAACAGTATATTTCTACTATCTCTTCTATGCAAAACAAAAAAAGCTGTTTAAAACTGTGGTATTTGTTCTACTTTTACTGTGTTTATGTGATTAAATGTTTTTTTTTTTTTTATTATTATTTATTTCTTTATTTTACTTTTTTTCTTTTATTACTTTAACTGTACTGTGGATTATTTTTTGACATTTTTTATTATTTATCTTAATTTTTTGCTTCTTTGATTGTAATGCTCTTTACGTTTAAAAAAAAAAAAAAATCAGATAAATGTATGTATTTTTTTTAAATCCCCTCCCTTGTTTATTATATTCAGGAATTACTTCTCAGAAGCTCTCACTAAAATGGAAAATCGAAGTACAATAAAATTGTAGATTTCTGTTAGTTTATAATCTTCTTTTTTCTCTTTCTTTTCCTCATTTATTATTTAAATTTTAGTATTTTTATTTATTTATTTGTGTTGAGCCTTCCACGACTGTGTTTTCTTTGTATAATAACTGTTTTGTGCCATTTTGTTGTATAAATTAAAATAAAAAGATCAGCAGAGTTTATTTAATATTTTTTATTAACTTTCAAAGAAAAAAACAGGTATTTAAGTGAAACGGAAGTGAATGCTACATATCTGTTCATTTAATATCCGTGTTTCAAGACTCTTGTGTCAATGTACATACTTTCTAAATATTAAGTTCTCCAGGATAAGAGATGTTTTATTAACAGTGTCATGATGATAACCCTCATGCGATCCCACTAATCCAGGATTTTTATTAATGATAAACCATGTGTTGCTGCCCTATGCTGTATGATATAATAATGTTTTCTATATTGATTATAGGTCTGTGACAAGGATACATTAGGTTATATTTTTAGAATAAATGTGGCAAGATCATTTGTATGAAAAGTAATATAAAACATGATAAAAAGAACATAAAAAATAGAATGTTTAATTATTATAAGTCCCACAGTAAATAATTGTATTCCTTAACTCATATTTTAACGTTTTTTCTTTTATAATACATTTCTTTATGTATCTTGAATGTAACTCGACACCCTTGCCTCATTTAGTATGCGCGGTGCTATGAATATGCAAATGAGACCCACCTCCACTCGTTAAGAGATCCACTGGTTGGCGATCACACATTGATCTGATTGGTTACAAGGTGGTTTGTGACGTCAGAAACACCAGCGATTTCAAAGCGTGTTTTTGAGACTGTCTTTGGTTCACTGCAGTTTTAAGGAGGAAATACTCAATGCTGTCCACTTATCAACGCACACACGGTGTGTGTTAAAGCGGATTAAAAACACACCACACACACACATAAACAACATTAAACGCTGGATTTACACCACAGGGGGACTTTATGAATGGGAACACCCTGTTTTTGTAATGTCCTTCTATAAATGATTGGGACTGATAAATGAAGGGTTTCAGCTCTCGTGGTCTTTAGACTGAGGACATCATATTCATAATCATAATGTTGGCGTCAGTCGCTGTGAAGGACATTTTTCCAGTCGTCTGGAAGGCTGAAGGGAAGCCGCTTCTGTCGTCTCCATTTCGCCCTTCGGTTCTTAAACCACACCTACAACAACCACACAGTTATTACAGAGATTTCCACACTGTAAAACAAAATCTGTTGAATTTACGGTAAAAAAAACGACAGCTGTTGTTGCCAGAAATTATTTAGCAACATTTTAGGTTTTACAGAGACTTACTTTAAGTTTACAGTAAAAATCATGTTTCATTATCAGATATAATGTTTATTTACCTATGCACTTTTTTTTGACAGATGCACTTTTATAATGGATAGATGCACTTTTATGATGGACAGATGCACTTTTATGATGGATAGATGCACTTTTATAGACTTCAAAACAGAAACTGCCATTATAAAGCTCGGAAGGGGCAGGAAATGTTTTAATATAACTGATTGTATTCGTCTGAAAGAAGGTCATTTACAGCAAGGATGGCTTGAGGGTGAGTAAATCATGATCTAATTGTCAATTTTGGGTGAACTATCCCTTTGATAGGATCAAGAACACTTCTGTAAGCTGTAAGTTTAAGGGTGAGAGATGACTTATGAAAGGTTGAGGATGACCTCGACTCTCTCCTCTCGCAGGTGTGTGCGCTGGGCCAGGTCCTCTCTGGTGTTGATGTCGGGATACTGGTTCTGCCGGAACAGGTCCTCCAGAGCCTCCAGCTGTTCCTCGGTGAAGATCGTGCGGTGCCGCCGAACCCTCCTCTGAACGTGAGCGAAGCTGGATGATTCTGCAGCAGGAGCCGGGTCTGCTAACATCCTCGGACCCCAAACTACAGCACAGAAAACTCACTGAGAAGAACATGCTGCAATTCCTACAAACTTTACGAGGTGGCTAAAGCCGGCTTTCAGAGCTTCGGATGCATTCAAATATCTGAAGTTCTGCAGCTGGACCATATGTGACCGGCTGAACGGAGAATTACCAATATTTTAACACTTTAATGTTATTCTGTAAACAATATTTCTGTAAAATTCCTGTTATTAACAATTATGGCAGAAATATCTTATAATTATTAAATCAATATTTATATTGATGTTAGTGTTAGGGCCATAGCTGTCAACATTGAACATTGAAAATAGTGAGATTTCCCGGAATCCATCCCCAAAATAAGGGATTTTTTTTACTAAAATACTAAAATGGAAAGACAGCAGGAAAAAAGCTAAAATACGCGAGAAACTTGGAAAAAAACGGGTGGGTTGACATCTATGGTTAGGGCTAGGTTTTTATTTGAGATTTCTTGAGGATAAATTCATGCATGCATTACATTCATTAAAATCATTAATTTTACGATGCAAATAAGCCGAGGGTAACGGTTGCTTCACGATCAATTTCAAACAAATTAACTAATTTCAGTAATTTGCGTACTTCGCTGTAATTAGCTGGCTTCACTGTAATTTGCTTACTTTGCTTTAATTCGCTTACTTCGCTGTAATTTCCTTACTTCGCTGTAATCCGCTTTGCTGTAATTCGCTTACTTCGTTGTAATTCTCTTACTTTGCTTTAATTCGCTTACTTTGCTGTAATTCGCTTACTTCTCTGTAATTAGTTTGCTTTGCTTTAATTCGCATAGTTCGCTGAAATTCTCTTACTTTGCTTTAATTCGCTTACTTTGCTGTAATTCGCTTACTTCACTGTAATTAGCTTACTTTGCTTTAATTCGCATAGTTCGCTGAAATTCACTTACTTTGCTTTAATTCGCTTACTTTGCTATAATTCGCTTACTTCGCTGTAATTTCCTTACTTTGCTTTAATTCGCATACTTCGCTGTAATTCGCTTACTTCGCTTTAATTCACTTACTTCGCTGTAATTAGCTTACTTTGCTTTAATTCGCATACTTCGCTGAAATTCACTTACTTTGCTTTAATTCACTTACTTTGCTTTAATTCGCATACTTCGCTGAAATTCACTTACTTTGCTTTAATTCGCTTACTTTGCTATAATTCGCTTACTTCGCTGTAATTTCCTTACTTTGCTTTAATTCGTATACTTCGCTGTAATTCACTTACTTCGCTTTAATTCACTTACTTCGCTGTAATTCACTTACTTCGCTGTAATCCGCTTTGCTGTAATTCGCTTACTTCGTTGTAATTCTCTTACTTTGCTTTAATTCGCTTACTTTGCTGTAATTCGCTTACTTCGTTGTAATTCTCTTACTTTGCTTTAATTAGCTTACTTCGCTGTAATTAGCTTACTTTGCTTTAATTCGCTTACTTCGCTGTAATTAGCTTACTTCGTTGTACTTTGCTGTAATTCGCTTCGCTGTAATTCGCTTCGTTGTAATTCGCTTACTTCGCTGTAATTCGCTTCGCTGTAATTCGCTTACTTCGTTGGAATTCTCTTACTTCATTTTAATTCTCTTACTTCGCTTTAATTCGCTTACTTCTCTGTAATTAGCTTACTTCGTTGTACTTCGCTGTAATTCGCGTACTTCACTGTAATTAGCTTACTTCGTTGTACTTCGCTGTAATTCGCTTACTTTGCTGTAATTCGCTTACTTCGCTGTAATTCGCATACTTTGCTTTAATTCGCATAGTTCGCTGAAATTCACTTACTTTGCTTTAATTCGCTTACTTTGCTGTAATTCGCTTACTTCACTGTAATTAGCTTACTTTGCTATAATTCACTTACTTCGCTGAAATTCACTTACTTTGCTTTAATTCGCTTACTTTGCTGTAATTCGCTTACTTCACTGTAATTAGCTTACTTTGCTATAATTCACTTACTTCGCTGAAATTCACTTACTTTGCTTTAATTCGCTTACTTTGCTATAATTCGCTTACTTCACTGTAATTTCCTTACTTTGCTGTAATTCGCATACTTCGCTGTAATTCGCTTACTTTGCTTTAATTCGCTTACTTCGCTGAAATTCACTTACTTTGCTTTAATTCGCTTATACTTCGTTGTAATTCGCTTACTTCACTGTAATTAGCTTACTTTGCTATAATTCGCTTACTTCACTGTAATTTCCTTACTTTGCTTTAATTCGCTTACTTCACTGTAATTCGCTTACTTCGCTTTAATTCACTTACTTCGCTGTAATTCACTTACTTTGCTTTAATTCGCATACTTCGCTGAAATTCACTTACTTTGCTTTAATTCGCTTACTTTGCTATAATTCGCTTACTTCGCTGTAATTTCCTTACTTTGCTTTAATTCGCATACTTCGCTGTAATTCACTTACTTCGCTTTAATTCACTTACTTCGCTGTAATTCACTTACTTCGCTGTAATCCGCTTTGCTGTAATTCGCTTACTTCGTTGTAATTCTCTTACTTTGCTTTAATTCGCTTACTTTGCTGTAATTCGCTTACTTCGTTGTAATTCTCTTACTTTGCTTTAATTCGCTTACTTTGCTGTAATTAGCTTACTTCGCTGTAATTAGCTTACTTTGCTTTAATTCGCTTACTTCGCTGTAATTAGCTTACTTCGTTGTACTTTGCTGTAATTCGCTTCGCTGTAATTCGCTTTGCTGTAATTCGCTTACTTCGCTGTAATTCGCTTCGCTGTAATTCGCTTACTTCGTTGGAATTCTCTTACTTCATTTTAATTCTCTTACTTCGCTTTAATTCGCTTACTTCTCTGTAATTAGCTTACTTCGTTGTACTTCGCTGTAATTCGCGTACTTCACTGTAATTAGCTTACTTCGTTGTACTTCGCTGTAATTCGCTTACTTTGCTGTAATTCGCTTACTTCGCTGTAATTCGCATACTTTGCTTTAATTCGCATAGTTCGCTGAAATTCACTTACTTTGCTTTAATTCGCTTACTTTGCTGTAATTCGCTTACTTCGCTGTAATTAGCTTACTTTGCTATAATTCACTTACTTCGCTGAAATTCACTTACTTTGCTTTAATTCGCTTACTTCGCTGTAATTCGCTTACTTCACTGTAATTAGCTTACTTTGCTATAATTCGCTTACTTCACTGTAATTTCCTTACTTTGCTTTAATTCGCTTACTTCACTGTAATTCGCTTACTTCGCTGTAATTCGCTTACTTCGCTGTAATTAGCTTACTTTGCTTTAATTCGCATACTTCGCTGAAATTCACTTACTTTGCTTTAATTCGCTTACTTTGCTGTAATTCGCTTACTTCACTGTAATTAGCTTACTTTGCTATAATTCACTTACTTCGCTGAAATTCACTTACTTTGCTTTAATTCGCTTACTTTGCTGTAATTCGCTTACTTCACTGTAATTAGCTTACTTTGCTATAATTCGCTTACTTCGCTGTAATTTCCTTACTTTGCTTTAATTCGCATACTTCGCTGTAATTGGCGTACTTCACTGTAATTAGCTTACTTCGTTGTACTTCGCTGTAATTCGCTTACTTTGCTGTAATTCGCTTACTTCGCTGTAATTCGCATACTTTGCTTTAATTCGCATAGTTCGCTGAAATTCACTTACTTTGCTTTAATTCGCTTACTTTGCTTTAATTCGCTTACTTCACTGTAATTAGCTTACTTTGCTATAATTCACTTACTTCGCTGAAATTCACTTACTTTGCTTTAATTCGCTTACTTTGCTGTAATTCGCTTACTTCACTGTAATTAGCTTACTTTGCTATAATTCGCTTACTTCGCTGTAATTTCCTTACTTTGCTTTAATTCGCATACTTCGCTGTAATTCGCTTACTTCGCTTTAATTCACTTACTTCGCTGTAATTAGCTTACTTTGCTTTAATTCGCTTACTTTGCTTTAATTCGCATACTTCGCTGAAATTCACTTACTTTGCTTTAATTCGCTTACTTTGCTGTAATTCGCTTACTTCACTGTAATTAGCTTACTTTGCTATAATTCACTTACTTCGCTGAAATTCACTTACTTTGCTTTAATTCGCTTACTTTGCTGTAATTCGCTTACTTCACTGTAATTAGCTTACTTTGCTATAATTCACTTACTTCGCTGAAATTCACTTACTTTGCTTTAATTCGCTTACTTTGCTGTAATTCGCTTACTTCACTGTAATTAGCTTACTTTGCTATAATTCGCTTACTTCGCTGTAATTTCCTTACTTTGCTTTAATTCGCATACTTCACTGTAATTCGCTTACTTCGCTTTAATTCACTTACTTCGCTGTAATTCACTTACTTTGCTTTAATTCGCATACTTCGCTGAAATTCACTTACTTTGCTTTAATTCGCTTACTTTGCTATAATTCGCTTACTTCGCTGTAATTTCCTTACTTTGCTTTAATTCGCATACTTCGCTGTAATTCACTTACTTCGCTTTAATTCACTTACTTCGCTGTAATCCGCTTTGCTGTAATTCGCTTACTTCGTTGTAATTCTCTTACTTTGCTTTAATTCGCTTACTTTGCTGTAATTCGCTTACTTCGTTGTAATTCTCTTACTTTGCTTTAATTCGCTTACTTTGCTGTAATTAGCTTACTTCGCTGTAATTAGCTTACTTTGCTTTAATTCGCTTACTTCGCTGTAATTAGCTTACTTCGTTGTACTTTGCTGTAATTCGCTTCGCTGTAATTCGCTTTGCTGTAATTCGCTTACTTCGCTGTAATTCGCTTCGCTGTAATTCGCTTACTTCGTTGGAATTCTCTTACTTCATTTTAATTCTCTTACTTCGCTTTAATTCGCTTACTTCTCTGTAATTAGCTTACTTCGTTGTACTTCGCTGTAATTCGCGTACTTCACTGTAATTAGCTTACTTCGTTGTACTTCGCTGTAATTCGCTTACTTTGCTGTAATTCGCTTACTTCGCTGTAATTCGCATACTTTGCTTTAATTCGCATAGTTCGCTGAAATTCACTTACTTTGCTTTAATTCGCTTACTTTGCTGTAATTCGCTTACTTCACTGTAATTAGCTTACTTTGCTATAATTCACTTACTTCGCTGAAATTCACTTACTTTGCTTTAATTCGCTTACTTCACTGAAATTAGCTTACTTTGCTATAATTCGCTTACTTCGCTGTAATTTCCTTACTTTGCTTTAATTCTCATACTTCGCTGTAATTCGCTTACTTCGCTTTAATTCACTTACTTCGCTGTAATTAGCTTACTTTGCTTTAATTCGCATACTTCGCTGAAATTCACTTACTTCGCTGTAATCCGCTTTGCTGTAATTCGCTTACTTCGTTGTAATTCTCTTACTTTGCTTTAATTCGCTTACTTTGCTGTAATTCGCTTACTTCGTTGTAATTCTCTTACTTTGCTTTAATTCGCTTACTTTTCTGTAATTAGCTTACTTCGCTGTAATTAGCTTACTTTGCTTTAATTCGCTTACTTCGCTGTAATTAGCTTACTTCGTTGTACTTTGCTGTAATTCGCTTCGCTGTAATTCGCTTTGCTGTAATTCGCTTACTTCGCTGTAATTCGCTTCGCTGTAATTCGCTTTGCTGTAATTCGCTTACTTCGTTGGAATTCTCTTACTTCATTTTAATTCTCTTACTTCGCTGTAATTCTCTTACTTCGCTTTAATTAGCTTACTTCGCTGTAATTAGCTTACTTCGTTGTACTTCGCTGTAATTAGCTTACTTCGTTGTAATTCTCTTACTTCGCTGTAATTCGCTTACTTTGCTGTAATTCGCTTACTTCGTTGTACTTCGCTTTAATTCGCTTACTTCTCTGTAATTAGCTTACTTCGTTGTACTTCGCTGTAATTCGCGTACTTCACTGTAATTAGCTTACTTCGTTGTACTTCGCTGTAATTCGCTTACTTTGCTGTAATTCGCTTACTTCGCTGTAATTCGCTTACTTTGCTATAATTCACTTACTTCGCTGTAATTAGCTTACTTTGCTTTAATTCGCTTACTTTGCTGTAATTCGCTTACTTCGTTGTAATTCTCTTACTTTGCTTTAATTCGCTTACTTTTCTGTAATTAGCTTACTTCGTTGTAATTAGCTTACTTTGCTGTAATTCTCTTACTTCGCTTTAATTCGCTTACTTTGCTGTAATTCTCTTACTTCGCTTTAATTCGCTTACTTCATTTTAATTCTCTTACTTCGCTGTAATTCTCTTACTTCGCTTTAATTAACTTACGTCGCTGTAATTAGCTTACTTCGTTGTACTTCGTTGTAATTAGCTTACTTTGCTGTAATTCTCTTACTTCGCTTTAATTCGCTTACTTTGCTGTAATTCTCTTACTTCGCTTTAATTCGCTTACTTTGCTGTAATTCTCTTACTTCGCTGTAATTCGCTTACTTTGCTGTAATTCTCTTACTTCGCTTTAATTCGCTTACTTCGCTGTAATTAGCTTACTTCGTTGTACTTCGCTGTAATTCGCTTACTTCGCCGTAATTCGCTTACTTTGCTGTATTTCTCTTACTTCGCTTTAATTCGCTTACTTCGCTGTAATTAGCTTACTTTGCTGTAATTCTCTTACTTCGCTGTAATTCGCTTACTTTGCTGTAATTCTCTTACTTCGCTTTAATTCGCTTACTTCGCTGTAATTCGCTTACTTTGCTGTAATTCTCTTACTTCGCTTTAATTCGCTTACTTTGCTGTAATTCTCTTACTTCGCTGTAATTCGCTTACTTTGCTGTAATTCTCTTACTTCGCTTTAATTCGCTTACTTCGCTGTAATTAGCTTACTTCGTTGTACTTCGCTGTAATTCGCTTACTTCGCCGTAATTCGCTTACTTTGCTGTAATTCTCTTACTTCGCTTTAATTCGCTTACTTCGCTGTAATTCGCTTACTTCGTTGTACTTCGCTGTAATTCGCTTACTTCGTTGTAATTCTCTTACTTTGCTGTAATTCGCTTACTTTGCTGTAATTCGCTTACTTTGCTATAATTCGCTTACTTCGTTGTAATTCTCTTACTTCGCTGTAATTCTCTTACTTTGCTGTAATTCGCTTACTTTGCTGTAATTCGCTTACTTTGCTATAATTCGCTTACTTCGTTGTAATTCTCTTACTTCGCTGTAATTCACTTACTTCGCTTTAATTCGCTTACTTTGCTGTAATTCGCTTACTTTGCTATAATTCGCTTACTTCGTTGTAATTCTCTTACTTTGCTGTAATTCGCTTACTTTGCTGTAATTCGCTTACTTTGCTATAATTCGCTTACTTTGCTGTAATTCGCTTACTTTGCTATAAATCGCTTACTTCTCTGTAATTAGCTTACTTCGCTGTAATTCGCTTACTTCGCTGTAATTAGCTTACTTCGTTGTACTTCGCTGTAATTCGCTTACTTCGTTGTAATTCTCTTACTTCGCTGTAATTAGCTTACTTTTTTGTACGTCGCTGTAAATCGCTTACTTCGCTGTAATTCTCTTACTTCGCTTTAATTCGCTTACTTTGCTGTAATTAGCTGATTTCGCTGTAATTAATAATAATAATATAATAAATCTTTGAAGTAATGAGCTGACTTCTCTAATAGTATTGTAGTATTTTCGCGAGAGACACGCATGAAATCCTGGAGTTTTTCTTTGAGGATTCAAAGGACAATAGAAAGAAAGCCGTGTAAATGTCAAAATTAAAATGAACTAAGATTAATAACTGCTGACGTTAAGGGTGTCAACTGAACATTATTGTGAAGAGTACACGACACGTCATGCAAACACACAGGTTAACCTGGAGTTTCTCCTTGATGTGAATGTTGAGGTGCAGAAAGGAAAGAAAGCGTGTCTTACGGTGTATAATCTCTCCACAGTGCGAACACAAGCATCCGTGAGTCTCCGGAGCGGATCCCGAGGCCAGCTTCTCCTCGCAGGATCCCGAAACACCAGGGCTCTCCGAGACGGGCTCCCGGTTCTCCAGAATGCGGTCGATGCTGAACGAGAAGCGCTTCTGGTCCACGAACATGTTCTCCTGCCACTCCTGGACCCACAATGCCATGGGCTTCAGAGAACACACTCATATAAGAGCGGCTCGGTGTCAAACACACATTTACCAAATAGATTAAAAGCGAGGAGACAAAACATAATCCTTCCATACAGCCGAGGGGGAGAAAGTGTAAAGTGTGTGGAAAATCCCAGCTAATCTGGGCCGTTTTGTGAAGGTGTTCAGGAGACGCAGGTAATCTGGCTTTAGCTGACCACAAATCTGATTCCACTGTATCAAATGAGACGTTTGAGAGCCGGAAATCCTCATTGTTGTGCCGACAGATAAATGTGCTGCGATTCTCCGAGAGGATCAGCTTCGGGTCCGGCATTTGCATGAGATTTCCTGCGTGTCAAACCCGTTTAACCCTCGCAGATCCCAGCATTCACTGCGCCGCCCTTTATCAGCGCTCAGAGCTGTGTTTGGGTTTATATGGTGGAACGTGGAGAAACACAAGCAGAAATGCTTCATAAAACCAATATCACTGCAAAACACGGGACGTTTTCCAGCACTAATATCTAAATCAAGACACATTTACTGGAGAAGAAGATATTAAGACTTGATTAATGAAAAATGAAGTGAGTTTGTGCTAATTTTCCAGCCTTAATTCTGGTGCATTTTTCCAACGCTATCTCACGACCAATTCGTACAAATTCATACGAGTGATTAAAAAGTGGCTACAGGCTACTAAAAGTTTATGCACAACTGCACTACTTCCTGAACTTCAGCCAGCTCCTCGTTTCCTGTCTGCCATTATTGGACAAGCTTGATTAATTCAGGTGTGTCTGATTATTGTTGCCATGACTACTGAGGTCAGGCACACCTGAATTAATCAAGTTTGGCCAATAATTCCAGTAGTGCAGCTGTGCATAAAGCCCATTCATCCGGTGAATTTGCACATTTGTCATGGGTAGGTTTAGGGGCGGGGTCAGGGGTAGGTCATTCGCCTCGTAAAATATGTACGAATTAGAAATGTAATTCTGTGCAACATATTTCAAATTCTGCTCTTCCTCAATGTTTCTGGCTCGTTTTCCAGCTCTAATATCTAAACACTGAAAAAAATATCAATATTAGGCGAGGTTGTGAGTTTTAACTTCCTTAATTTTGATGCATTTTTCAGAAATGTAATAGCCTATCTTCAATCGCTTCCTGTAAATGTATCTTGATTTAAGCATGTTTTGATATTCGTACTGGAAAACTGACTAAAAAAAATTGCAGTTTGTTGGTATTTTTTTGGTTAGTTGCTATGATGCTTATAGATTTTGCTTTATGGTGAAACTTTGAAAAACACAAGTATAATGCTTCGTAAAACCAATATTACTGCAAAAAACAAAACTTAAATCAAGACACATTTACTGGAGACGCGAGACAACTGAAGATATAAAGTCTTGTTATAAGGATCTTGTTTTGAGCATAAACTCCCTTAATTTTGATGCATTTTTCAGAAATGTAATAGCCTATCTTCAGTTGCTTCTCCTGTAAATGTATCTTGATTTAAGCATGTTTAGATATTCGTACTGGAAAACTGACTAAAAAAAATTGCAGTTTGTTCGTATTTTCTTGGTTAGTTGCTATGATGCTTATAGATTTTGCTTTATGGTGAAACTTTGAAAAACACAAGTATAATGCTTTGTAAAACCAATATTACTGCAAAAAACAAAACTTAAATCAAGACACATTTACTGGAGACGCGAGACAACTGAAGATATAAAGTCTTGTTTAATGAAACATGTGAACAAGATCTTGTTTTGAGCATAAACTCCCTTAATTTTGATGCATTTTTCAGAAATGAATATCTAATATTTTTAATATTCTCCAGTAAATGTGTCCTTGTTCAGTTTGTTTTGAGATTCCGACTGGAAAACATTTATTTTTCGCAGTTGTTTTGTATTTTCTTTATTCTTTTAACTGTTGCTCATCATGGTTTTATTTCATAATTTCTGAAGCTAAAAGTGGAGCTCTTAATTTCCCGCGGCAGAAAGACTTGAGCGGCGTCTCGACTCGTGTCTTATCACCCAAACACACTCCTTCAGTGTCTCTCCTTTGACAAAAAGCCATATTGTACATGTTCTATTCATTCTCCACAAATCCTTTGTAATCATACGAGTCCAACACATGCTTTTCATCAGGAATTAATGGATTTTCAGAATCTGTCTCGAGCCACACCGATAAGGAGGATCACAGATCCCGATAAACAGCGGCTTACTGATATTAATTTGCTTTATATTGTTGAGATTATGGTTTTTAGTGTCGTGTTGATTGGGATTGATATACTTTTGCGTCTCATACATTATAAAAATGCATGTGGTTTCAGGATGTTATTAATTCCGATATATTTCAGTGTGTGCTTTACAGTTGTGTTAAATTGATTGTTTCTACTTTTAACCCCTTTGTGTCTGTTAGTAAACGCTGAAGGAAAGCAGCGCTGCTGAGACACTCAAATATATGATGATGATTCCCCGACTTCCATCGGTTATTATTTCACATTTATTTTATGTGAGATCTTTAAAAAACGGATTTTATGCAGGATATATCGGCTGATATCGGTTCATTTTTAATGTTATATATCGGTCTGATAAGAAAATGTGTCCGATATATTAAAGCTGATAAATAATGGATTATTGTTCAGTTCAACATGATGGTTTTTTAAATATGATTGGAATCAAAAAAGGAAAATATATATATAAAAAAAAATAAAAATAAAAAAAGGAAAATATTGTCAAGTGCAACAGTTAAGTTTCTCATATCGGCTACATAAAATTATAATATAAGAACATTATAACTGTGTGTTTGAGACGTGGATTTTACAGATGAGACTTTTGTTTTTATAATCAGGCTCTCAAAAATTACATACAAATTTGGATTTAGATTTATCGGCCGATATATCGGTTATCGGCTTTCAAATATAAAGAATTATCGCTCGGTATCGGTCAAAATTTTCATATCGGTGCATCCCTGGATTTAAAAAAAATCAATCAAAAAATATTTAACATCCACGCGAGACTGTAGCAGTTCAAGATATTTAATGATGCAAGAACATTTTTAAGTGATATTTGACAAAAACAGGGTCTTTTGTGCCACTAAATCTCTAATCAAAAAGCTAGTCAAACGCTCAGGACTTTATTTCCAGCTTCAGACACAAATAAAGCATCAAATGTTTCAGTGTGAAGTTACTTTTACTTTTACTGAGGGACAGATCTGGAGTGAACGAGTGTGTTCGTCGCTCTTTAACTCTGAAAAGCTGAAATGATTCTTTTGTCTCAAGTATAGATATTGTCTATATATTGATAAATAAAAATATATTGTGTCAATATATTTTATTGACAATGTCATACATTTTTTGTCATAATTCTGACTTTTTAAGGCAGTTTTTACTTTTCATATCACTCATAATTATGACTTAAATCAGAATTATAACTTTTTTATATTTTAATTATAATTTTTGTAATTGAATTATAATTTCAACGGTCAGATTTGAAGTCAATTTCAACTTTTTAAGTGTTAAGTCAAAATTCTGTCATTATGGCATAATTACATCTTATTATGACTTAGTGTGTCATAATTTAAACTTTTTGTGGTAATTTTGACTTTTTTACATGTTAAGTCAGAAGAATTTTGACTAAATCAAAATTTGACTTTTACGACTCAAGTCAGTTTTGACTCGTAATTTCAACCATAATGACATAATTCCAACTTTTTGTAAGTAACATAAAAAAAAAAAATTTTAACGTCAGAATTTTTGTCATATTTGACTCGCGTCAATTGACTTTTTACGATTTAAGTCAGAGTTTTGACTCGTAATTTCAAGCATAATGTCAAATCTCAGCTTTTTGTCACAATTTTGATACAAGTCAGATTTAACTTTTTATGTTTTAACTCAGAATTTTGCCTTTATTAGGGTTAGGGTTTGACTTTATGTCATTAGGTCAATTGACTTTTTACGACTTAAGTCAGAATTTTGACTCGCAATTTAAACCATAATGTCACTTTTTGTTGCAATTTTGACGCAGGTAAGTTTTGAACTTTTTAAATCTTTAATTCAGAATTTTCACTTCATATCATAAATTTGACATGTGTGCACATCCCAAACACCCAGTTTGGGCTCGCCTGCAGGACAACTGAGTAACACAAACGACAAAAGAAGCGTGACGTCCGTACACTGAAAATAGTCGTACAAATTTTGACTTTTTTTACGTCTTATGTCAGAATTTTGACAGTCATAATTTGTCCAATAACTGACAGTCAGATGTTTTCGGGCTCCAGTGTAAAGCTGCATGTACTTGTCTTGCGTTCACTGGTCCTTGAACTCTGCGTCAAACATGATCTTCTGGATCTGCATTTTAACCGCGGCTCTTTTCTGCGGCGTCAGTCTTTTGAGGGCCGGGACGAAACTCAAGAGGAACAGCTCGTCCTCATCCAAGGCTTTCTGGACGCTCTTTAGAGGCTCGTTCTCCGAGACCCGTGTGTGTGTCTGATGCTCCGAGACCCGCGTGTGTGTCGGATCCTCCGCGGGCTGCGCTGATGAACCGGACGCCGGCGCCCCCTTCAGGCCCGGAGGAGGACCGGACGCCAGCGGCCTCATGTGTTGCAGGGGTTTGAGCTGAGCCACGATAGACAGGGGCATTATGGGAGTCAGCGGGATCGCCGCTTTGAGCGGATGCTTGGGCTCAAACCTGCCGTCACTCTTGGCTTGGTTTCCCAGGCTGGACTTTGAGTCTCCGCCGCTGGACTCGTCGAGCGACTCCTCGGGCGAATCGCGAGCGCTTCCGTCCCCGTCGTCCGGATCCTCCAGAGCCTCGGCTTCGCTGGGAATCTTCCTCTTCCGGATGTGATTGTCCAGGAAGGAGAGGCTTTCTCTGTGTGGCCAGTAATGCAGGCGCCGGCCTCCTTCTTCTCTCTTCAGCTTGCAGAGTCTCCGCTCTCGGATGTATCGGTCCCTGATGGTCTTCCATCTTCTCTTGCACTCGATCACTGCAGCGGGAGAACAGCGTTAAACTCACATCTATCCATCATAAAAATGCATCTGTCAGATAGTCAAATATGTTTTTTTACTGTCAAATTAAGTCTGTAGAACTTAAAATTTTGCAGCTGTATTTTAACGGTACATTTCTAGCAACCACAGCTGCAGATTTTTTACCGTAAATTTACCGTAATTTTAGTTTACAGTGAAAAACACGATGGACACGGACAGAAACACGGTGTCGCTCAGATCCGGCCACATCTGTAACGCCTGATCCGCATGTGGGCCGCATCTGAGCCGACACAGCGCACTCGAAAGACTGCTTTTCACTTTATAATTTTCTCCTTCATAAGCAGTTAAAATGCATTAAAGACATCGATATTAAAAGAGCAAATTCAGTCATTCGTGAT